TGACGTTGCTCTTGAAGGTTTTATGAAGTTTCAGACCTTCAATATGGGCTTTTTTTGGTCAATTCATTCATTCAACAAAAAATTTTTGTGCCTGACACTTGTTTAGGCACTTGTTTTCAGTAGTGAATAATGAATAGAATTTCTTTCTTCGTGGTTCTTTTTTGTCTATGGGAGGGCAAGTGGAGAGTAATAAAAAGAGAAGGAATGTTAACTCACTCTGTAGAGGATGAGTATGGATGTGAAGACTTCCCAGAAGAGGCTCCTAAACTGAATATTAATGACTAAAAATTTTCTAGTAAGGAAAAATGGGGGAGGAGGTAGATAGAAATCACTATGGTATAAGGAGATGATGAAGTCATATGAAGATGAAAAACAGAATTTTTGTAATGTGTATGCAAGTGGTGTCATATGTAATTAGATGTTGCTGTAACTTGTAGGATGAGACAGCGGGTGAGGCCCGGTAGTGCACCTGCTGGTGTAGAGTAACTTGGCCTCTGTACAGTTGAGATTGCAGAAGGATAAAAGAATTAAGAATGGGAGTAATGTAAGTAATGGAATCAATGTTCAAGTACCCCCTCCACACTCTTGTGGAGTATCACCAGGCGCTGGAGCTACAAAGATACATAAATCAGGTCACTGTTGTGAAGAGCTCACTTCTGTACCACTCTTCTTCACGTGTCTACTTTCCTATTCTATTCTAGTCCTGCTCAACCTTGATCCACTCCCAGCATCTTTCTTCCCCACTCAGTGCAGTGGTGTTTCCAGTTCCTGACCTTTTAGCACAGATCAAGATCCAACATGTAGGATAACAAAATTACTTCCTAATTCCTCAGCAAGATTAATGTATTAGTTTGAGAGGCATTCTATCTTTTGGCACTAGTGCCATGCTTCAAAGCATCAGAATACCATGAAGAACAAAAGACCCAATTTCCTCTCACCATTTCAACCCATCAAACAAATCCACTTTAACAAGGAAACTTTGAGTCAAAGCCTGTCTTCAAAAATGATGCACTTTTCCCAAGAAATCCTTTTCCTGGAGTTTGTGAGTCCCTTGAAATCTGAGCCCCATCAATCTATATGCAAATTTTGTGAGCATGTGTATTATCTTTTAAGGACCACTACTCTTATTTTGAAATAAAACACAAAATAGATTTCACATAGAAGTTATATTTTTTTCCTCCAGCAAGTAAGTATTCCATATTGCTTTTCACTGCACTTAGATTTCTATCTACCTAGTCCTGCCTGCACTTCATATGCAAGGAAGCTTCAGAAAGTTCATGGACAAATGACACTAGGTGATAATGGTGCATTGTCCATGAACTTTTTGAAAGCCCCTCATATTTGATATTTATGACTATATAGTCTTTGTGATTCTTCTGTTGCTTGCCAGGAGTACATATTACTAATAAGGCCTTATAAATTTCCTGGTTCCTTCCCAAAACCATTTCCCCTTATTCCTCTCACAATCCTTTTGACTAGTCATTTAGAAATAGTAGTCTATTTATTTATTTAACCTTATATATGCAACATGTTGAAGGCGCATTATATGTTTTTCATTGAGAGATTCTGAAAATTATGAATTGGACGACACCTGTTATCTTTGCTCTCCTAGGCGGGCTTTCATATAGTGTCAACAGTATGCAGTACTCTGGTGTAAATGAATTAGCTCTACTTGAATGCAAAACATAAGCCATCCATGTAAAGGTTCACCTAGTGAAATTGAGTCAGGCTTGAAGACTTCCAGATGTTTTGATGACTTTATGAACGGACAATGTGCGTTTTTAGCCTTAGATTCTTTAAAGCCTATTTTGAGGAGTGAGCATTGAAGTGCGTCCCCACTTCCCAGTAGGGGTGCTGGTTCAAGTTCGATACTCTGATCCAGCTTTCTGCTAGTGTATTCTGGCTGGTGGTCGGGGGGGGGGGGTGGACAGCAGGTGATGATGGTTCAAGTACTTGGGCCTTTGCTTTCCCAATGGAGCTCCTGGCTGCTGGCTTTGACTTGGCCCAGTCCTTGCTATTGAGAACATTTGGGGAATCAACCAGTGGATGGAAGATACCTCTGTCTCTCTCTCACTCTTCCTTTCAAGTAGATGAAAATTAAGGATAAACATTTCAAAAAGAAAAAAAAAAAGAAAATTCCAATTTTCTGTGTATTTGTCTTAATGCAAAAGCATATTTTTACAGAGCTGCAATAAAAAATCTGTATTTTTTCTTTCTCAAATTATTAGTCTTTGGAATACTTTAGTATAATTTATGTTATCTCCACTGTATTCTAGGTGAAGATCTAATAATTTATTATCTCTTTACAATTACACATTTAGGTTAATTCAATGCTTCAGATGCATCTTTAGACATAGTCTCTTCTGATGGATGAACTATGATATTTTTTTTTTCTCTTTTTAAAGATTTTATTTATTTATTTGACAGGTCGAGTTACAGATAGTGAGAGGGAGAGACAAAGTCCTCCATCCGCTGGTTCACTCCCCAAACGGCCACAACAGCTGGAGCTTTGCTGATCCAAAGCCAGGAGCCAGGTGCCTCTTCCTGGTCTTCCATGTGGGTACAGGGGCCCAAGGACTTGGGCCATCCTCCACCACTCTCCCAGGCCATAGCAGAGCTGGACTGGAAGAGGAGCAGCCAGGACCAGAACTGGTGCCCGCATGGGATGCCGGCACAACAGGTAGAGGATTAACCTACTGCGCCATTGCGCTGGCCCCCTATGATATGTCCTTATGTTAAATTCTCAAGAACAGGATTACTGACACAGAGATACAAATATAGTTATGTTTTCGGATATGGAGTTGGCAATATGCTTTCCAAAAACATTACTGCAATTTTATAAATTACAAGAAAAATTATTATAAATGCAAGCAAAAGTATTAGTATATATCCTTTACCTTAAGTAAATCATGTAGGCAGCATGCAGACTGCTCAGCTAACATTCATTTTGTAGGAAGTTCAGGTCATGGTTTTGAGTGTGTCCTTTCACTTTTAATCAACTTCTGCTCTTAAATCTTAGAGGTACATAATACCAACTTCTATTATTACAAAGAATTAATCATAAAGGATGATTAAAATGTTATCAAGAGAATGTTATACTAGTGCTATTTTGGTTTATGACATTTGTCAATGGTATTTAACTTTAAAAATGACAATTTTACAAGGCAATTGCAAGCAAAATAACTATTTTATTGAAAATTCAGAACAGTTACAGTACTTTAAGACATATTTTCATTGTTTTAAGAAAATAAGTTAAAGTGCAATGATATTTATTATTCATTTAAACCAGCAAAATCATTTTGAAAAAGATAAAAACACACAGCTTAATTTATTCAGGGTATAAACATATATTTTATTATTTGTTATCAAGAAAACTTGAATACAATGTTTTAGAGTGATCTTTTCAACATTTCTCTCTGGATCCAATTTAAATGGCCTATTAGTATTTTATATCTGGTTCACATAGGCTACTGATATATACCTCTCTCTATCCTTGCATGCATGCATGCAAGTAGCAACTAGCTAATTTTAATATGAGATTTGAAAAATCAGAGTGGTTTGTCACTTCATTTACCATAGGGAAATACAATGGCATTTCTAGTCAGTTTTAGGCACTTATGCCTATCTCCTTGGTCTAAATCAACCAGTTTCAGAGAAGTATTTAGCCTACTAAATGCTGCTGACATAAATAAGATCAAGCATAATACAGGCAAAGAAATAACCTTTACAACCAGCCAATTGCTAGGAAGCAACTTGTTAGAAAATTTCACAAATTTTCTTAAGAAGAGGAAAGTAGCTGAGTGGGAAAAAATCAAAATTGATCCATTTTTTAAAATTCAAATCAGTTTTACACCTCATCAGATAGCATTCATTAAGCCACTGACATTATATAAATAACTATTTCCATTAGATTTATTCTGTATCTTCTCCTTTTTAAATGAAAAAAAGTGAGGATAAGACCGACTTTGGGTACACACCATCAATAAACAAATGCTGCACTGACATCTGCCATGTCACTTATTACAGGAAAGCTGTAGTATGATCTGTGTTTTGCCAGAGATAGAAATGGCTCTAATACATAACTTTAATTTGCATTTTCTAGTATGTTGCAGTTAAAGAACCTTTATGTAACCATTATGAAAATACTAAAATTAGACCCTGTTAGGAAATTTACAACATGTACATTGTCATTAAGTGGTTGTAAAAATGTAAGTGTATTTTCTAAGAAAGGAACAGAAATGGTTTTAATAAAGAATTCAGTTTCCTCTGTGGCTTGGGGAATGCTGACACACTGTTTCCAGGGCAGGCAAAAGAGCATAGTGCTATATGTGGTTGCACCACAGAGAGCCTCCTACCTGTCCTTTAAAACCCAGTTCATGTGTTGCTTCAGCATCAAGCCTTCCTGAAGGACCACCAATCTGAGAGTGGCTCCATGCTGGAGAATTGAATCACAGCTGATCTCAGTGCCTTGTACTGCAGTTATACAGTGTCCTTCCTTCCTTTGGCTCTAGCCTTCATCAAATCCATCTTTCCATGGTACACGGTATCTTCAATTTCTCTGCAGCAAGTAGAGGCTTCTTAAATTTTTAATGAAAAAAGCATCAAAGATGAATGGGTAACAACAAAAAAAGGCATAATGTGGCATTTGCCAATGCACTACTTGTTTTCATCTGATATAAACCATCTACACTGTTCTTTAACCAAGAATAGCCACTTGGAGAAAAGACCCTCTGATTAAAAATGTCTAGGAGCCAGTGTTTTGACAAGCCAACGTGGATTCTGATGAAACTATCTGGATGTAGGAACAGTGATAACTGACTTAGCACAAAGCTCATCAGAGGTAAATGGTTTTTCTTTTCCCCTCATCAAGCAGAAAAGGCTCATGAACTAACATTCGAAGAGGAGTTATTCACTGTAGTGCCCAATAAACACTGAAAGTGGTTTAGCCAGAGTGTGATGGACCAAAAGGGACCAGATACAAAATCTGACAGATGCAAGAACTCTCATTTCTCCAGGCCCCCTCAAGGAATAGCACAGTGGAATATTCAAAGTATCTTCCCCAAAGGTTACCTAATATTTAACTCATTATAACCAAATTTTCACAGAAAAAATACACTGATTATTTTGCAAATAAAAGATAACAAAAAATCCTTAATTAAGTGCATTTACACTTTGTGTGTGTGTCTTCTGAAGAATCAAAGAATTTCTCTATTTCAATTTTTTCTTGTATTAGCATTGGATGTCGATTCGCCATGCTTACTGCATAAGATAAAGCCTAGTTGACGGGTTGTTCACAATGTGCATGTACTGAATTGGAAATTTATTACTATGATCAACTATGCAAAATTGCATTGCATTTGATCAATTCCCTAAGGAAAATAAAATGCATGAATATATAAAAAGAAAATCACACTCAAAGACTGAAATATTATCTGAAGACAGCTGACAAAAACCTAATATTTCTTTCCAATAAATAATGATTTTAACCCATTTTATATTATTATAAAAATTTTAAACACCTAATTTATTCTTAGATTCAAGATTATATTCATTCCAGTGAGTACTATTTTTCCTGTAACTTCAACCACATTGTTAGTATGATGAAAGGCTCAATGTAACAGATTTGATATAAAAGTATCACAATTACAGTTGATACCTAATGCAAGTGTGACAAAAATTTTGATTCTTATGAATTTGTACCAAAACAAAGTTTCTGCTATATCTCTAGGCTACTAATTGATGACAAGTTAATGATGTAAGCAAAAATACTTGAACTAAGTTAACAATGAAATACAAAAATAGAGAATATTTACAGTGATCTTGACAATATGTTTAAGTATATTACAAATTAGAGTATCACCTGGCTCATGGTAAAAGTTCATGTTTTAAAGTACAAACTCTTTGAAAAATCAAGAGACAATTCTATTCTTAATGTTTTAAACTTAATAATTTTCTCTTCTTCTTCAACTGAGATTCTCCTTTGGTTAATGAGTGGGCTTGAAAAATATGGAGTTAATAGAAGGTATTTCTCTGGAAGAAGCCTGGAGTGCCTTAATACCTACTAGACAATTTATTATCGTTTTGATTTTTCCTAAGCACAAATCCCTTACGGTTCTTTCATTCTGCTCGTTCAGATCAATAAAAGGCTGTGAAAAGGAAAACCACAGGGCTGAAAGAGTCCATAAATCCTGTTTTTGTCAGATATCTATTTTCTGCCATTAAGGAAAACAGTGCCTACAAAACCAAGGAAAGGAAACAAACAACAACACATACACACACACACAATGAGGAAAGTGCAAGACACAATTAGCATAGCTGGGTACATTCTGCCAACCAACAGCGAGGCAAGCAAGTGGTTTCTGTTCTGATTTAAAAGAACATGCTTCTTTTTCTTGTTGAGATTTATACAACCATAGAACAGGCTTCTAGAGTTCTCCAATTTTCTGCTCAGGTCACATACACTATTCATAGATCACACTCCCACTTTCAAAGTATCAAAATATCATGAAATAGTCCCAACATTAAAGTTCAACTGAACATAAGTTATTCTTTCTCTTGAATGTGATGTGAGAATTTTTAAAAATCCTAGTCTAAGAGTCAGAGGATCAGGTTCTCTTATTCTTGACCAATGAACTTAACCTTTCTGCACATTCATTTCCTCCATGAGAAATAAGGGAGTTGTACCAGTAACCTTTAGAATCCCTTTCAAATATGACTCAAACTGTTTAAGTCAGAATTTTACACAGTGCCTCTTGATGTGGTTATGAAGATCAACTACCATAATGGTGTCATGTAAAAATAATTCTGGATTTTTGGGATTTTCTGTTGCTTACATTATTGTTAATAGAAGTTTTTCTGTTCCCAGGAGTATTTGTCTAATAAAAATGTAATCAAAGTGGGTTTTTTTTTTTTTTTTGCATTAACATGAAGTTTGCTTTGGCATTCACTGGGAAGGCCTGGGGAGAGATTTATGTATATATGCCCTTATTTCTCTTCTTGTTGAAATTCTGTTCTCTCTTCAACAAGGTGGCAAAACACTAGCATGGAGGTAAAAGAAATCTTGGTTTAAGTATTTCTTACTGAGAGGAAGAACAGAAACATTTCTATTCCTTAATTTTTATATATTTTTTTTTTATTTTAAAAACTAAGTTTTTAAAAAATATTGCTAATACTTAAAACCAAGGTTCTATTGCAGTTTACTACTATTGGTAAAGAATTATCAATTATACCAAACTATCAATATTGTGGCAAAACAAAAGAGAGTTTGGTACTATTTTTAAGTATGTGGCAATGCATTTCACTAATTTCTATATTGATTGTTTTCAGAATTAAGACCAAAGTAAAAGACATACAATGCTTTATCCCCTATTTTAAACCAGAAGCTAAGCATGTTGAATTAAAATTTAGAGAGGGACTTTGGGGAGAGTCAGGTATAGCTTTAGAAGTAGGATAAATAATTTCTTCAACAGTTACATATGTACCTAATAAGAAACCAACAACTCCAGTAAATACTATAGAAATATTTTTCAAGACCATCCATATATTGTAATGGTCCTTAGAAAAGGTAAGAATTTCAACCAAAGGTGGTAGGATGAGGGCCAATGTACTGCTGCTCACAGCTCCAACGAAGGAAATCACAATGTCTAACCGAGGAATGAGAATTGCTCCAGCACCTAAAAAGTAAAAATACACAATTTGTTCTTGCTTAAACGTTTGGTACTCACATGAATATTAACTGTGGACACTTTCAGTACATTAAAACTAATTCATATAAGTTGGACTACTGAACTATTTCTTGTGGGAAAATCTGTCATACTTTGTTCTGAGCTAAAATCAAAAAACAAACAAACAAACAAAAAACTGAAACAGTAGGTGACATTTCTTGGATTTTCACTTCTCAGAATTTCTTATGAAAACAACCTTTAATTTTTTACTTGAAAATTCTGAACAAAGAAATTTGGAAAGTTTATTTTCAAAGTATTTGCATTACTCCACTTGTCACACAGTTCGTTCTATAATACATGAAACATGACACAGTATGATATGAATAACTGGGAAAGAAAATACAGCTACTCCTTATAGAATTTAAAATAACTAAAATAGAACAATGGAAACAAAGAATCACTATTATGCAAAATGGATAGTAATCATTAGATAGGAATAATCACTGGAGGATGCTAAAATTAATGGGAAGAAACTGAAGATCAGGATATCTGCAGTTTCAAGTATCTCCAAGACAATTATAAAGGGAAAAGCGGTACTTTGACAGTGAAGAAATATGCCAGAGATCACCTTACTCAAGTGAGCAAAGTTAACATCACCAGTAAGTCTTATTAATACCATGATACAATGTCCTGAGAAAATTCACAGCATCACTCATGTGAGATTCTTGTTAAAAATGCTTAACTTTGGGGGTCAGTACTTTGCTATAGCACAGTGAGTTAAGCTGACATCTGTAGCCACCTGCATTCCTTATAGGTGCTGGTTTGAGAACCAGTCGCTTCACTTCTGATCCAGCTCCCAGCTAACGTTGCCTGGGAAAGCAGTGGAAGATGGCCCAAATGCTTGGGGCCTTGCATCCACGTGGAAGACCCAGATGAAACTCCTGGCTCCTGGCTCCAGCATGGCCCAGCCCTAACTGTTGTGCCCATTTGGAGAATGAATCAGTAGATGGAAGATTCTCTCTCTCCCTCTCTCCACCCTCTCTTTGTCTCTCCCTCTCTGTGCAACTCTCTTTCAAATAAATAAGTCTTTTCTCAAAAAAAAAAAATGGTTTAACTTTTATCTAATCAAGAATTAAATCATCAGGCAGAAAATTCTGCACAATTATTGACATGTCAAAAGTGGAGGGTCAAAGAAGACAAGGACTGTCAAGACTGGAAGGAGACTAAGTAGACACAACAACAAAATTCACCTGGAAATTTAAACTGTTGCCAGAACCAGAAAAAGATATTAGCAGAAAAACTAACAAAATTATAATGAGGAATAAGGCTGGTCAGAGCATTATATCCATGTTAATTTCTAGTTTTAAGAATCGTGTTGTATTTGTGTAGGTTTTAACATAGAAAAAACTGAATAAAGGGCTTATGACAACTTGATTTTCTTACAACCTTTCTGTCCAAATTACTTCAAGATAAAAAGTTTTTAAAAAGGCACTCCACTATTTCCATAGGATTTTCTTCTAAACCATTGATGAGTTTTCTGCAAGCTTCATTCTGTTGCCTTTTTAAATTTTATCTTGATCTTATGAAAAACAGTCAACAGTGGGCTTGTAAAAGTCAACACAGCCCTTCTTCAAATTGTCTTTAAATTATTTTTCAGTGATTTTCAATGGTTTAGAATGGCCATAAAAATAACAGTTAGTTTGCTCCTATGCAAGCTCTGACAACTACATCATCATTGCCAGCAATGACAACACCACAGTTCCTTCATCAGGGACTCCAATTACACATGTTTTGGCTTCCTTAATCGCCTTCCACAGCTATCATTTTGTCATTCTGATTTTATTTTTTTATTTGCTTTTCCTATATCTATCCATATGTATTTATAGTGTCCTCTGTGTAATCGAGTCTTCAGTTTGCATTCTACTTGCTTCTCTACTTGTTCATTTTCAGTTATGAGGTTGTTTTTTTTTTTCCTCTCCATACTTTATGAGGTTTTTTCCTCTTCCTATTCTCTTTTTGGCTGCTAATGTTTTCCAGGAGGATGTTGGACTAACTTGTAACTAAGTTCTCACTATATATCCCATGGAACCAGAAGTCATTATTTATAATTTTCTGTTCCAATAATAATGAAAGCTAAAGCCCTAAAAACTGCTTTAAAGTTATAAATCTAGCTTTGTACTTAAAGCACTGAAGTCAGATAACTCTTCAGTTAAATAAATAAATGGCTGAAGCAGCAATTCTATAGAAATTTTTATAAGACAGATTTCCTATATTTTCTTTACTTGACAGGTAGAGTTATAGACAGTGAGAGAAAGAGAGACAGAGAGAAAGGTCTTCCTTCCGTTGGTTCACTCCCCATATGGCCACTACGGCCCGCCCTGCGCCAACCTGAAGCCAGGAGCCAGGTGCTTCCTCCTGGTCTCCTATGCAGGTGCAGGGGCCCAAGCACTTGGGCCATCCTCCACTGCACTCCCGGGCCACAGCAAAGAGCTGGACTGGAAGAGGAGCAACTGGGACTAGAACCCGGTGTCCATACGGGATGCCAGCACCACAGGCGGAGGATTAACCAAGTGAGCCATGGTGCCGGCCCCAAGATTTCCTATTTAATAGATCCTTTTAACACTCTTTCAGGGAAATACAAAGCATAACCTTAAAACGCAATTAGGGCCTTTCAAAGTTCATTGAACATAACATTCTGTGGAGGCATTTTCTAAATACTTAGATAACAGTGGTATAAAATTAAGGTCAGATAAATATGACTGAATCCTTGCCTTCTGAAGATATTTCCAATTTTGAATCCATTTTCCCCTCAACATTTTTTCCTTCTTTTCTTTTTTTTTAACTTTTATTTAATGAATATAAATTTCCAAAGTACAGAATATGGATTACAATGGCTTCCCCCCCATAACGTCCCTCCCACCCGCAACCCTCCCCTTTCACACTCCCTCTCCCCTTACATTCACATCAAGATTCATTTTCGTTTCTCTTTATATACAGAAGATCAGTTTAGCATACATTAAGTAAAGATTTCAACAGTTTGCTCCCACACAGAAACATAAAGTGAAAAATACTGTTTGAGTACTAGTTATAGCATTAAATCTCAATGTACAGCACACTAAGGACAAAGATCCTACATGAGGAGTAAGTGCACAGTGATTCTACATGGGGAATAAGTGCACAGTGACTCCTGTTGTTGATTTAACAATTGACACTCTTGTTTATGGCGTCAGTAATCACCCTAGGCTCTTGTCATGAGCTACCAAGGCTATGGAAGCCTCTTGAGTTCACCAACTCCGATCTTATTTAGAAAAGGCCACAGACAAAGTGAAAGTTCTCTCCTCCCTTCAGAGAAAGGTACCTCCTTCTGTGATGGCCTGTTCTTTCTGTTGGGATCTCACCTCACTCACAGACTCATAGAGATCTTTCATTTAGGTTGGTGGTTTGTTTTTTTGTTCGTTTGTTTGTTTGTTTGTTTTGCCAGAGTGTCTTGGCTTTCCATGCCTGAAATACTCTCATGTGCTATTTAGCCAGATCTGAATGCCTTAAGGGCTGATTCTGAGGCCAGAGTGCTGTTTAGGACATCTGCCATTCTCTGAGTCTGCTGTGAATCCCTCTTCCCATGTTGGATTGTTCTCCCCTTTGTAATTCTGTCAGTTACTATTAGCAGACACTAGTCTTGTTTGTGTGATGCCTTTGATTCTTCATCCTATCATTATGATCAATTATGAACTGAAACTGATCACTTTGACTAGTGAGATGGCATTAGTACATGCCACCTTGATGGGATTGAATTGGAATCCCCTGGCACGATTCTAACTCTACCATTAGGGGTAAGTCTGAGTGAGCATGTGCCGAACTGTACATCTCCTCCCTCTCTTATTCCTACTCTTACATTTAACAGGGATCACTTTTCAGTTAAATTTAAACACCTAAGAATAATTGTGTGTTAATTAAAGAGTTCAACCAATGCTATTAAGTAGAACAAAAAAAAAATACTAAAAGGAATAAAGTGGTAAGCTGTTCCTGGACAGTCAGTAAAAGGGCTGATCAAGTCACTGTTTCTCATGGTGTCCATTTCACTTCAACAGGTTTCCCCTTTGGTGCTCAGTTAGTTGTCACCAATCACGGAGAACATATATTTGTCACTTTAGGATTGGTTTGTTTCACTCAGCATGATGTTTTCCAGATTCCTCCATTTTGTTGCAAATGACCAGATTTCATTTTTTTTTTTACTGTTGTATAGTATTCAATAGAGTACATGTTCCATACTTTCTTAATCCAATCTTCTGTTGGTGGGCATTGAGGTTGATTCCAGGTCTTAGCTATTGTGAATTGAGCTGCAATAAACATTGAGGTGCAGACAGCTCTTTTATTTGCCAATTTAATTTCCTTTGGGTAAATTCCAAGGAGCAGCATGGCTAGGTTGTATGGCAGGGTTATATTCAGGTTCCTGAGGAATCTCCAAACTGATTTCCATAGTGGCTCTACCAGTTTGCATTCCCACCAACAGTTATTTTTTTTAAGATTAATTTATTTTGAGTGTCAGAGTTAAAAGAGAAGAGAGACAGAGAAAGGAATCTTTATCCACTGGATCACTCCCAAGATGGCCCCAATGGCCAGTTCTGGGTCAGGCCAAAGCCAGGAGCCTCCTTAGGATCTCCCACATGGGTGGCAGGGGCCCAGCCACGTGGGCCCTTTTCTGCTACTTCTGCTGCTTTTCATTAGCAGGGAGCTGCATCAGAAATGAAGCTGCCTAACATGAACTGGTGCCTATATGGGATGCTGGCATTGCAGGCACCAGCTCTACACTTTATGCAACAATGCCAGGCTCCCATCTAATATTTTTAAAAATGAAGTATAATTTCAATTATATAAAACCATACTTCTAATTATACCAACAGGTTTTGGCATATAAAAATTGCTTCCACTCTAATTGTTCATGCAGTACAGCTTGCTCTATAAACACAAGGCCCTGTCAGCTGTCCACACACACACTCATCAGTAAAGAGCACAACCCAAAATCTTTTCAAGTGCTTCACAGAACAGAATTAAAAACAGTCCTCCCAGGAATATCAGTTGGCTTTTAATTTAGTTCAGGAGGATTTACCAAAGATTCAAATAAGCTGAGTGTCCAATGATGTGTCCCAATGAGTTTTAAGGGAACACTGCACAGTTTTCGGTCTCTTTGCCCAAAGCATAATGCTACAACTATAACTTATATATGTTCAAGAAGCTTTAACTATTTTTAACTGAAGGAAAGAAGCAGAAAAGAAAAGCCTGCAGTTCTCTGTGCTACAAACTCTGCTGAGGAAAACCCTTGACTTCTGAGAAAAAATTCACAGTAGCAGCTGTGTGGTCCATGTGTCAGCATATATGTAGCTCCCATATAGCACTGCTAGCCAATGTGTAGAAATAGATGAAATATAAAAAGATTGATCATTGTTAGCATGCTTCTCAAACTCCTTCAATTGAATTTCATCAATTGAAATTACTTTTTTACTCACTCCAGTTACAAAAATACTAATAAAAGTAATATATAAAATAGTTTTAAAATTTTGCACCTTTTTCTAACTGAATGTTTCATTCATCATCAGAGTATGGGCTAAATTCATGTTCTTTCCACTATATCAAACCAAAGCTCCCTCTCTGTAACTCTCCATTATTAATTCTACCCTATACATGGAATTCATCTTATAATGTGAAATCTTAATAACAAATTATATGCTGTCCTTAAAGCAACAATAAGTCACTAAAATTATTAAAGACTAATGCAAAATAAAATGACACTTAGGTGCAGGTAGCCATGAAGAGTTAAACTGTTAAATATACAAAAGATAGCAAAAATATTTTTTTTAAATCTTGAGGAAAATGAGAACCAAAATAAAATGTAAGAGGTACCTGATTTTAATTACCATTAATGTCATTTTCAAATAATTTTATTAGTTCTTTTAAGTGTGATAGAATCTGGTTGTGCTATTCTTATATAGTAGGAGAAAATATAATTTTAAGCCAAAAGGCATTCAAAGGAGGTAAATAAACTTATTTTTAAAATATGTTTAAACAGGTTTCATTTTTAAAAATTCAATAATAAAAGAAGTATATATATGTAGTAATACTTACAAGTAATACTAACCAAGAAGGATCTTATCCCAAGTTCCCATATTTGCTTCCACTTAGCATTAAATTTGGATATGATTCCAGGGATAATGATTTCTGCTGGAACATAGAACTGAATTGAATATGTCACAAAAATGCCAAAGGAATACAGAATTTTCACTGATTGATATAACCTGTTGGAAAAAATTTCAAAGTTTAGTCATTCTTAATATAAATCTAGCTTTCTTCCTTTTAATGTTAACATTTAGACAAGAAATCTAGAACACACACTTAGGTCATAATCTTATTAACTAAAAATGTTCATAAAAATAGCCAACTGATCTCCACTAACTACATTTCTAACTCTATTTGGACAATTTTGTACATATTGTTGGAAACACTTCATCTTAGGCTAAACCAATGTTCTGAAATTAGGGAAGCCATTGTAATCCATAAGCTGTACTTTGGAAATTTATATTCATTAAATTAAAGTTTAAAAAAAAAAGAAAAAAGAAATTTAGACTCAGCTACATAAACAGTTAACATTTTCCCAATTTTCTTTTTAAAAAGTGAGCATTCTTTATGTTTGTTAAACCTTGAGTCATACCCTCAGTGATCTATCTATAGAAGAACAACTTCTATAGATATCAAATTAAACTTTGAATTTTAGTTCCCCTTGCTTGAAGGTCCTGATAGGTGTATCATTAGTTACAGAAATGTCATCAATTTTAAGTCCAAGAGGAGGCGATCTAAACAGTTTCAACTTGCAAAGTTCTCTAGATTATATATACTGTTTTATTATAATTATATGAAAAACAGAAATAGAATTGTTGGGTTGTGTGGTGGCTCCTTTATCCAAGGAAACACCTCACTGATGCCCTAAGCTTCAAATTAACAAAGCAACTTTCACTTTCATAAAATCTTCAGACTTCTATATTGCAGACTGCCTCCTATCAAAAAAAAAAACTCAATATGTAGGCCTTGGTAAAGACTTTGGTAGATTTCTTTTGCCTGGCAAAAGATTTTTTAAATGTTGATAAGACTTGGAGAGAAAATATAGAAACATATGACTCAGAGGAGCACTACAGAACCCATTCCCTTGTGTTACAAACTATAAAATTAACTCAATATTTTGTGATAAACAGAAGAAAAGCCTAACCACTCTTACATGTTAAAGAAATAAACCAAAGTTGAGAGTGGGCTGACATAGTGTGGGGTTAGGGCCAGTGATTTAACACCTATGTCTTCCTTCAGCAGAAACATCTTCCACACTCACAATCTTCCCTCGTAGGAGCTCTACTTTCCCACCTAAGAGTCCTATGCACAGGGAATAGTGTTTTCTTTATTTGAAAAATATATATATAATCATTTAAAAAGAATATAAAATATCACACATTTGGTAAAGAAAATCTTCAACATCAATTTAGGCTTTAAGCTTACTTCTGATGTCTTAAGATGTAAAGTGTTAAGGATTATAAGCAGTTCTCTATGGCCAAGCAAGAAGGAATTCCTGCTGTAACACAGTCATCACAGAAATGAGTAAGAGGAAATACAAAAGCTAAGTAGGAATAATTTTTAAAACTATAAGTGGCATAATTAGGGTTAGCAACTATAACACCTTAATTTTAAAATTACCTAAGGATTTTTTTAGCTTGAGTTTTACAGGTTAAACACAAACGGTCAAGTTAGTGGAAATATTCAAATTAACCAAAAGATAGCTATTTCATATACTCTGAAAGACCATTGTGAAAAGTAAAGTGAATATTCTTATTAGTTTATTATTAAGTAAAGACTATTGCTTTTTCTAACTACCTTTTCATCTATATGCTTTTAAGATACAGTTAAGTGTACATTTAAAAGAAAAATACAACATTCTGCATATAAGTAAAATTACTTTCCTATTGATGTAAAACTGAAGCTATGTAAGCTAAGAACCTGGTTATCATCAAGACTATTCAGCAGTATTGACCTTATGCAATTACTATTATTTGGTGCTACACACAGTAAAAATGGGGAATAAAATTAATTGGGAGACTGTCTAAAAACATGCTACAACTAGCTTAAAATCAACTTTTTCCTCTTTTACTTCTTTTCTGTTTCAAAAACCTACTTATAAGTTAGGCATCTATATTTTCAACTACTCTAAACTATTTTTCTTTACTTAACTTTTCAATAACCATTATCAACCTTTGTTTTCATTTTATTTTAAGTGAACATCTACAGTAAAAGTCCTTCATGCACTAGGTTTTAGAAACACAGAGAGTTGAAAAAAATGCACTAGTAAACTCTAAAGAATAAAAAACATTTTTAAAGTCAGGGCAATTTGTTTTAGAATAAAAAAGAACATGAAAAACTTTCAATGTTTAGTGCATATTAAAAGATCATCTGAAACACCTCTTTGCTAAAGCTCCTGAGAGTTTTTATTTATTCTTCTCTGTGTAACCTCTCCAAGGCACCTGAGTAGATGACTATACTTGCTGAATATTAGTTAAATTAAATTCAATGTTAAAAATGAATACTGATAGATCATTCTTTGAAAGTACATCTATTCAATGTGACAAATATTAACAATATTCAACAAATAGATTGATTCATGCTTGAAAACAAAATCTATTATACTGGTAGCAAAGAAATTTAGAAAAAGGAAAACATATTTTTAATAATACATTGGAATAGGTTTATAGGGTCGAACAATGTTCCAGTGAAAATATTAGTTTTGAAAACATACTTCAAAACAAGTAATATTTTTATTTTTTCTCCACATTAGCTAGTAAATCAATACTTGGTCTAAATTTTCAGGTATGAATACCTTACAAAGTAAACTTGGAAAATTAAGTTGTTGAACTGCTTCTCTTTCTCTCAAGGCTGAATACAGAAGCTACCCATGGAAATAATCTGATAGATAATTCACTTTCCCTTCTGGATCCTGAACAAGCCAGAACCTATGAATTCCTTCTTTCAATTTCTTTATATTTATCTCTTTATCTCTTCTTGTGCCTTTTGTTAACCCCATTCTTGTCTAAATACTTTCATCTTGGGTAACAATCTTCTTCCCAGAGCACTCAAGCTCCCATCTCCTGTGTGGTGCAAACATGGGCTAAGACACAGGTTTATCCTAATCCAGGTTCCTGCTAATGAGCATCCTGGGAGGAAGCAGGTGACAGCTCACCTACCAGGGTCCTTACCAACACAAATGGGGATTCCAGGCTCCTAACTGCTTGGGGAGTGAATCAACAGATGGAAGATCTCCCTTTGTCTGTCTCTCTGCCTTTCAAATAAAATTAAAATAAATAATCTTAAAAAAAAAGAAAGAGGGAGGGGGCCAGCCTTGTGGTGTAACAAGTAAAGCCACCACCTGTGCTGCTGCCATCCCATATGGATGCCAGTTCGAGTCCCAGCTGCTCCATTTCCCAGTGAGCTCTCTGCTATGGCTTGGGAAAGCAGAGGAAGATGGTCCAAGCCTTTGGGTCCCTGCACCTGCTTTGGAGCTCTGGAAGGAGCTCTTAGCTCCTTGCTTTGGATCAGTCCAGCTCCGGCTGTTGTGGCCATTTGGGGAATGAACAAGTGGATGGAGGACTTCTCTCTCTCTGCCTCTGCCTTTTAAATAAATAAATCTTTAAAAATATTAATAATAAAATAAAATAATTTTTTAAAGAAGCAGAACAAAAATGAAAAAGTTAAACTAACAACAAAAAGAAATATGTTTGCTCCTATTACATATATACCATCATCCAAGAGGACTCGGTAAGACAGAATACAAATATATCCTATCTGTTCTTTGAAGTCCTCTCAAGAACTTGCTATGTAATCAATGGCATGATTACCCTTGACCTTCTACATCTTCAACCTTCCCTTGCAACAATGACATAAGCTAAAAATCTTCACCTTCTGTTTTGAATTCTATACATTACCACTAGAGAAAATTTGAGGAAAGACATAATTTGAACCCAGCTACACAGAAGATATTACATGTGGCACTCACTCCTGAGTACAAACTCAAAAGATAATACTTAACACTACTACTACTAGTCTGCCTAACTCTACATTCATATTTTTATTTTAGAATTTAGATCAGTCTTGTGCAAACTTTTCCTATTTCAGTCTTCTTTGCTGGTAAGGAGATTTTATAAGTTAAAATAACACCTAGTAACATGTCCAAACCTAAGATCATTTGTGTGAAAGAAGATAATCTATATAAAGTATTTAGAAAAACACATCAAAGCAGTCCCAATGAAAACAGACATCATTTTATGATCTTGTTGTTGCCATCATGAATTTATTCACGTGGAGTTTTGAAACCCAGTATTAAACAACTTGATTATTTCTTCTTGGTTATTCTAATAACAGCTGTACTGAACCTGTCAGAATATGTACATGTCTGAACATGTATATTCCCTCTGGAGTGTGGCAGTATGCTAGGAATTCTCAAGGACATAGGTTAACTGTGGTGGATCTTACTGAAGCATAAATTTTACTCAGAAGTTTCTTGGGAGAGAATTATTTTTATATAAAAAGTAACACAGGCAGTATGAACTAGAAAGAAAAGTTACTCTTTCAGTAAAGCATAAACTGATGCTACACTGGAGGTAGGCTATTTGGGAAATTGCCCAAGATTCCCAAGGGAAAGTTTTTTCTCTCCTGTGCTACTGGGTTACTTTAGTGGAAAAACATTGCTAAAGTATCACTCAACTTTGACTAAATGTGGTGCCTTGTTTGCACTATCAAGTAACAACTGAAATACCTTTAAATCTAGAAGAAAACAAATACTAACTGTCCCCTAAGCATTAAGCAGTGTGCAAGATGATGGAGGTATGTGGTAAGCCTAGAGGATACAGGGTCCCTGCACCTGCCTTCAACGTGCTGACATTCCAGTTCATAATTGTCAATTTACTTCATTTTCACCTTAAAACATACTCTTTACTTCAAAAGCAAAATGTAATCCATTGGAAAGTATTATAGTTTTTAAAGATAATGCCTCAGAATGACTGAAGTTAATAACTCAGAACTTTTCTAATCCATACTTGCTGTATCTTATGGCTTCTTTAAATTCAACCTTTGTTTGAAGCAATGACCTTTATAAACTCTGGGACTTAAAGTCAATTAAGCAATCAAAGCTCATCATACATTCTCCAAGTTGGAACATTAGATTCCTAGGATGCTCCTGAAACAGTCATAGACATTCATATTCAGACAGTAGAGTATACCACATGTTAACTCCCAAGGTCTCTCAAGTGAAACACAGGAAGAAAAGGAAAGAAGAAACTCATATGATATACTAAGAAAGAAATTTTAGATATAACCCCATGATTGTTCTAGTCAAAATTTCTCATTTAACACACTATAACTGTAAAATAAGCAACTCTCATCCTATATTCCCCAAATCATGACTACTACTTCAACTGTCCCACAACTGTACAGTCCACAATGAAACTGACTATATACCACTTAAAGATTATTCCAAAATTAAAATGAATTACCCGGCAGAAGTGCTCTAAAGGAAAATATCTATCCTGACTTGCCTCCTTGCTTTTTTCCAGATTTTTGTTGCTTCTTGGAATACTTATTCAAAACTTTCCTCTAAATGAAAAGCAAGTTAGTTAGATCTTCTCAAATAAGAACTATGATCTCAAAGTTCCTTTTTAATCAAGTCACGACTATTTCCATTCTAACTGGAGAGCTACACAATTAGGATAAGGTGAGAGCTAGAAGGGATTGTGAGAAAAGGGAAGCATTAATTAGAGTTACTGAAGGGACAGCATCACTCCTAGTATTGAGCTGTGAATGCCAAAAGTATATCCTCAGATTTTTATTGTTTATATCATGTCCCAGCTGTGCTCTGAAAAGATCTGAGGTACATACAATATATAGCTGACAGCCAGTGATAGCCATAACTTATGGGATATATTATGTTATCAGGAACTTGGAGTGCTTGGGTCTTTGGTAGCAAGGACAGATTTTTTTTTTTTATCAAAATTCATCTACATTAAAAGAATCAATGTTTTATGGTTGACTCAACCTTGGAACAATGTAAGAATTTTTAAATCTCTTTCTAAAAATTCTGCAAGTCTGTAAATTCACAGATGCCTCCTATGAGAATTACCAAAATAATCTAGATTGTACAAATGAAGAAATCATACCAAAAATTTTAAATGTTTAAACCATAAATCCAAGAACTGAACTTTATCATCAAATATTGATATCTACATAGACTAAGAATATCAAATTTATATCCACCTACCATACATCCTGTGGAAGATTTAAAGTTATGCTGCCTTTGATTTCATCACGGAAACACATATATCCTAAAGTAGCTAATGTGACATACAAAGTTGTAACAATTCCCATGCCAATATTCAATGCCTGGGAAAAGCGTCTGGATTCTTTCATTTGATTTTCTAGTGGAAGAACCTAAAAAAAGAATACAATTCTCTTTTTAAAAGAATATAATGTATGTAATTCAAAATAACACAATATCTCTTATACATACAAACTGGTATTTATAGACTATATTCAAATCTTTTCTCCTTTAAAATAGCATCTATAATTCCTAAAGTCCTTTTTGTGCACTATATATTTTACTTTACATATTTTAAATCCTTGAAATAAAGACATCCAACTCATCTTTTGGCAGGCAAACCTGCCAGCTTTTTTAAAGATCACCTTTTTATTTTGGAATAATTCTACATTTACAAAAAAAGATACATAGAAAGCAGGCAGCTCCCATAAACCCGTGCCCAGGTTCCCTTGCTATTAACACCTTACATTACCATGGTACATTTGTTACAAGAATAAACATTAGTATGTTACTATTTTTTTTTTTAAGATTTATTGATTTACTTGAGAGACAGAGAGATACAGAGAAAGAGAGGGAGAGACAGAGAGAAAGGTCTTCCATCCACTGGTTCACTCCAGCAGGCAGAGCCGAGCTGGTTGGAAGCCAGGAGCTTCTTCCGGATCTCCCACACAAGTATAGGGGCCCAAGGACAGGGGCCATCATCTACTGCTTTCCCGGGCCATAGCAGAGAGCTGGATCAGAAGTGGAGCAGCCGGGACTCAAACAGGCACCCATGTGGGAGGCTGGTGCCTCAGGCAGAGGCTTAACATACTCCGCCACAGCATCAGTAATAGTACATTACTATTAACTAAACTCCAAACTTCATCTGGATTAGATTAATTTTTCCCCTAATGTCCACTCTCCGTTTCAGGGCCCCAAGTAGGACATGACATTGCACTTTGTCATTAGCTTCCTTAGTCTTTTCTTACTGTGGCAGTTTCTCAATCTTTCCTCACTCTTTATTACCTTAACAGTTTTTGGAGGCACTGGTTAGATATTTCCTACAATGTCCCTCTAATCTGGATTTTTTTGATGCTTTGCATGTAACTAGTCTGGCATTAAGGGTTTCAGAGAAGGATATCACAGTAATGAAGTACCCTTTTGGCACACATGTTATCAATATGATTTATCATTTAATGACATTTATTTTGACCAGCTGGTTAAGGTAGTTGTCAGATTTCTCTGCTATAAAATTGTTTTTCTTGTATTCTTTTTACACATGAGTTTGTTATATTATTCTCTGAATTTTTCATCTGCTTGAAGTTTTCCATAATAAAAGCCACCTAATTTCCTTATTATACATATTAAGAAAATAAATATTAGAAACACAAAGTGATATGTCAAGATTAAGCTCTTGTTAAGTGGAAGAACTAAACTAGAATTCAAGTCCATCATGACAAACATGAATCTAAGAATAAAAATAACTGAAACAAAATGAAAAATACATATTTTAAAAAATACAGCCTGAGTTTTTAAATCTTTGTATTAACTTAAGATTTTTAATGATCATAAAGACTTACCACCCCTATGCCTTCAAAAGCAAATACAGCAGTCCCAAAAAAGAGTGGATATTTTTTCCAACCAGCCACTATTGGAAGGTTGTGGGGATCTGGCATATTCTGCACAAATGAAGGGGAAAAAACACCACAGGTTATATCTTTGCTTAGAAAATTTAAAATTAAGAAGCAAAATCAAATTCTTTCGAGTTTTGCAATAGCAAATGTGCGTTTTAAGAGTGAATAACCTTTCAATTAACACTTTAAGCATCCTATGTTAAAGTGGCCAAGCCATTAGGATTTCATTGTCAAATTAATTGTTTTTTCCCATGTCCACACAGTCAATCAGAGTGAAAGCATCCTCATTACCTGTTTCTACCTGCAAGTCCCAGGCTATATCTCTTCCCACAACAGGAAATATATAAACACATCCAAGGTCTAAGCTGAAAGCCATGTAGTCAGTTATCAATCATCGCAGGGGATACTCAATAGAAATTCATTCTCTATTTTTCCTTGCCCTTTTAGTTCTCTAAAATACTTGGTTCCTGACTTTGACTTTCTACCTCATAATTCTGCTTCTCCCTAGTACAAGTCTCTTTCTGTTTCATTGTTTATTCTTTGATCTGACAGTTGTCATTACTATTGTCTGTCATTACAATGACAGTTGTCATTATTATTGTCTATGGATGACTAACTCTGGCTTTGACTACTTGGTTTTGACTCATTGCCTTGTTCCAACTTTCTCTATGTCAATAAACTCCCAAACTATGCATCTCGTTCGAGATCTCTGGTTACACAATGGCTACTTCTTCCAAAAAGCCCAAGTCCAGTCCCTACTTCCTCAGCATCCTGCATTCTGTCTTACATGACTGGAAGTGGCACTCAAGGCCAAGGAAAGAGGTGAACAAAGTACCCAGTGTAAAAGGGAATGGAACAGAATAACAAGTGTAAAATGGGGGAATAGAGAGGTCTAGAACATCTGAAGCCTAAGAAGAACTGTGTGATATAATGGTGATACATGACTAAAGACATAAACCATGGTCAGAATGAACAATAATAAAGAATAATAAAGTATTTCGATCAGTCAGTAAAACAAAACTGCTATTCAAGGGAAGCAGGATGATATTACACTTCTCCATGCATCATTTCATGGTTTTTGGTCTACCTTAGTGGAGCTTTTCTGCTCCACTAAGTCTAATATTGTCATCTATGAACTCGAGAAAGTCTTATAAGTGATCCTGCTGCCTTAGGTGTTATGGAGATTACAGGTATTGCAATACAGGTAGGGGAAAAACTGAAACACAAACCCATTATAAGAGTTTGTAATAAACTGCCAATGGCGATTTTACAGCAACTATCAAAAAAGCCAGATATAGCATGGATTCGATCAGAAAAAAAAAAAAAAAAGATCAGGGGTTCTCAACATTTTTGGGGTCACTGGTCATTTTGGGAGATGAAAGCTATAAGGCTACTCAACAGATAACACATATATACATTCAGAAATAATAAATTTTGCAAAAAATTTTAAGGGTTTTGCAGATTCTCTGAATCCCATCAACAGGTTCTTTTAAGGACACTGACTTAAGAATCCCCATAATATGGACAGTAGAATCAGTTCAGGTTACCACACAGACTTCAAATAAAGGGGTACAAAGTAGTGTGGCAGCAGCAATAAAAGTTCAAAAATTAAATTAAAAGTATGTAATGTATACACATACACACACACACCCAATTCTGTGATTGGCTCAAATTTTATAGGAATAAATATTTTATATGTTCTTGGTTTCATGTTAAGCACAATCCCTAACAGCACAGCCCTAAACTCATACTAATTCTAATAGTACATGAATCACTGTATTCTAAAGCAATGTATAAAAGTCCAGAAGCAAGTTCTGCAAGATTCAAAACTATGTGTGATTACAAAGCTTGGGTTTTTAACCTCTGGTGTACACTTTTCTAACTAAACAATATTCCCCCAAAGTAAACCTTTTAGTGATTATCAAGTGTGTGCCATATATGAAGTAGGGCTCATTACCTTTACCACCAAAGTAACTAAAAATTTTACTTATGTAAGAAATATCTGGCATTTAGCTAAGAACACATTATACTTACCCTAACAATATATTGGTAAATTATCACAAGACTGACAGCCATGGAAACGTTGGCAAGGAATGAAAGTACGAATAAATTCTTTAGCTCACGAATGAAGACCAAAAGAATTAGAAATGGAAGAAAGCAAAGCATATATATCCTTAAGTCAACACTTCTTCTCTCACACAGACTTGATGAATTGGTATCATTTGAAACAAACACTTTACTCTCCAGGAATCCTTCATGAACCTAGAGACAATTACCAGGAGAATAAGCAAAGAAAAAAAGCTTCCATCAACTTATAATCATAAAAAACAAAAAAATTATGAGCTATATATTCCTTGATAAGTTCTTGTGATACATTTTAATACATAAAGTATTTCATTTTTCAAGATATTGTTTCCTAAAAATATATATACCAAATTTAAGGATAATTAGTGTAGGATAATATTTGCGAGATAACTCCTTTCATCTTACTGTGAAAACAAAGATCATTAGTAAATTATAGAATAGACTTACTACTTTATTTTGAAACTATGTGACTACCACGCGCATGATGCTTACAAAGACTTAAAGATCTGCTCTTGATATCATCAAAATTGAGAACATACTTGTCTAGAATAGCCATTGGATATTCTACTCCAGCTTATTTTGTTGCAAGTAGGAAATAAGCTCTAAGTACCTCCTAGAAATATACAGCAGTCAAATTTAAAATTCAAAGCCTAATTTTAAAACATTTATAAACAACTATTTATAATTTATCATCACTGTCAATAAGCATTTATAAATAATCCACTAAATTTATTAATGGCCATCAGTGAGACAATAGGTAAATTTTTGTTAGATTAAAAAAAAAGTTCTACAAGATCAGGACAGGTTTTTGGTCTTGTGGTCAAGATGCCAGTTAGGACACTAGCATTTCATATAAGACTGCATGGGTTTGAGTCTCAACTCCACCCATTTCCTGTTTCCTGTTAATGTGCACCTAGAATAACAGCATTGGGTCCCTCTCATTTGAGGAGTGGACCAGTACATTCACTCCTATCAGGGGAGCTTTGTCTTGTGTCTCTTTGTCACTACAACAAATAAATAAATAACTTCTACAAGATAAATAAATTTTATATTACAACTTATTCAAGTACTTATATAACCCAATTTTAATATTTCATAAAAAATACACTGATTTACAGGATTCACATATTTTTAAACTGTCATTGATTAAATTAATTACACAATTTGACAGACTAAAATTGAAGTAAAATTATAGAGTCTTTTAGAAATAATCTTAAAGTTTTATAGGAGATAGTCATATTGTAATTTGAATGTCAGTGAAAACCTATTTGCCCCTAAACACTATAAGTGTCTTCTCTGAACACACTGACATTATCAACTCTGCATATATGAATTCCCAAGAAATAGATCCTATAATAATAATAGCTAGTACTTTTTGAGTATTTTCTATATGCCAGGTAATGAACTACCTGTTTTATACACATCTGATTTAATCTTCAAAATGACTTTCTGAAATGAGTAGTGGTATTAATTTCAATTTATAGTTGAGGAAACTGAGACTTAACAGGGGGTAAAAAGGACCTTGCATTGTATTAAGACAGTAAGTGATGGTTGCAAGATTCAAACCCAGGTTTGAGTTTCCAGGATCCAGTTGTGATAGCTATATGTTAACCTGACCAAAACACTGTAACTTAGGGAGTCCCTGCCCAACCAACCACTTAACCTCCATTCTCACATATCTGCCTAAATGTGTAAGTATTGAAAATCCAACACATTAGAAGTTTAAAACAAACTGTAATATGATTAGCAATTCAAGTGTTTCCTTGTTTTTATTCTTATAATTCACATTAAGCAATGTTTAGCATCATAACATACGTATACATCTTTTTAAACTGCAGAGAATATATCTACCAGATATTTTAACTGTTTAGGCAATTTATAACTCATACTGCACTAACAAATTTTCAAGTTATATCATGCACTATTTAAGAAATGGATAGCTTGTAATTGGCCATTAAAACTATATTTTCTATAATTTCAAATAGAAACAAATTATAGGTAAATTGGTAAATTTATTGGTAAATTCACATCCCTGGGTTTTAAGATCATATTTCACTAGTAACTCAATTTTCTCAGTAACCAAATTATTTAGAGCCAAGTATTTCAAAACAAAGCAGTACCTCTGGTAATTAAATTAAATATTGATCAAGTCAAGCTCTAACAAAGATAACAAATTTGTCAAGGGGCTATTTGAATCATTAGGTTGTTGAGAATTTGAAGCTAATATTGTAACAAATATCATAATGTTTTAGCATTCTTTGGCAGAAAGATGGCTATAAAAATTCTTTGGATTAAAAAATTAAATAAAAATGTAGATACATACCTAGAGCAAGATTCAGATAAACATTTGAGTCCTTTGGTGCCCTCTAGAGACAGAGATTGGCTATCTAATAGGACTTCCTATGATCTCACATGTTTACCAAAATGTAAAACACTGAAATAAATATTATAAAATAAAATTACTTAATTCAGTTGTTTTCATTTAGAGATCAAATTGTCTAAAATTAACAATTTATTGACTTTTCAATGATCCACTAATGTAATAGTTAAAATTCCAAAGGTAGATTATGTTCTTTAGTAAAACTAAATACATAAATAACGTCATAACACCCTACATTTGTGTATGTTTTATATTTTACAAAGGCTTTCACAAACCTGTGGGGAGCAACTCGGACTAGACTAAGTTACTCAAATTAAGACTTATTCTATGCATCTGCTCTCCCACAATATGACGCTGGGAGAGGAGTAAACAGCTTCTACACAGCTGCCTCCAGTTCAACCAATAAACTGTAGGACCTACTCCTGATTGGAGGAGAGCAGCGTACTCAGCGTGTGGGTAGCAGAGTTGGGATTGGTGGAAGAGGACTATAAAGGAGGAGAGAGACAACATGCACCAGGAACATCTAAGGGGAACATCTATCTGAAGGAACACCTGTGCAGCCCCCGAGAGAGCCGGCCGGCGGTGTGCCTCTCCCCCGCGGAAGTGGGGAAAGTGGCTAGGGGGAACCGCCCTTCCACGGAGGTGGAAGGGTCGGTAGCCAACCCGGGAAGAAGCAGCAGCAAACCCAGGGAGGGCCGAGCAGACGAAAGAACAACGCAGGGTCCTGTGTCGTTCCTCCACGAAGAGAGGGAACGACACAAACCTTTTATTAGATGAGTCTCAAGTTGTGTATGAGGAACAATGGAATATTTTGTTATTATTTATATTTTACAAATAAACCGAGGTTTGAGCAGGAATAAGGGAAGATCATACCCAATCTACGAACAGAAACTGGGAGAACAGGGGTGGGAACTCATGTCTTCTGACTCTAAAGTCAATGGTCTTTGGTATTACTTTGGTATTTTTCACCTCGATAAGCTAAACTCCATACCCATATACATTATTTTATCTATGTGAAATTTTCTGCAATATCCTAGAGTAAGATAGTAAGAATCAGAATCACTGGCAGCATTAGAGTTCTTTTCCTCTACCCATTGTACATAATCACTTAATGGGGCCAAGAACAGCCATGTAGTAATTGTAGAGTAGGTTTCTATATCTGTATGGTAACAAAATCCTTACTTCCTAAGGTTAATGAAATGCTGTACTTTCAGTATCATATAGATTAAGGTGGTAACGATCCTACAGTTCTTAATTACAACACTAACAGTAATTGGTAAAGTTTAATCAATTATGTCTACTATTGCATATTGCTATCAAATGTAAAAGAACACCTCTGTAGACAGTGAAACTCTGTTCTGCTTCCTGGCCCTCTCTCTGCTCTGCCCAAGTGTTATGTTTGTCAGTGCTATCAACACTTCTCAAGCCTGATCATGTAGTTTTCCACACTGCTCTTTTGGCCTCAAAAGAATTCTCATCTTTTTATCTAAGGAAAACTCTCTCCTTACCTCTGAGGGACTCCCTTTTTCTACCTGGTATTTATAGAATATGTACAATGAGTTAATTTTTTCCATTAAACTTTGGAAGCAACAGATAATATTTCATAGGAAAAGATTATAGACATCTATTTTATCAACATTTAGTACTCTCTCATCACACACAACAAAAATCATACAGTATTCTGCCCAGTGATGAACCATTACCATGTCAGGTGGCAACTCTGACAATACCTAGGTTTCAGCCTAATTGCATATGAGTTGATGGCACATTCCTCTTATTTTTTAAGACTGCTTGCTCATTAATAAAATAAGTATAGTACTTACTTTACAGAATAGTTGTAAAGATTGAATAATATATGCTACAGCTTATAAATATAAAATTATAGGGACTCATATTTTCCTAAATTCAAATAGAGTTTGTAGGCAATCTTAGAAAATATGAGAAAAGATACAGTACTACTATCTTACACAGTCCTGGGAAAGTATTATTTCCATTGTATTCTATTATCATGAAAATGGTGTGTTGTCAGTTTTTGCCTATAAACAATCATAAATGGTTAGGAGTCCTAGCAATGGGACACTGGTGCAATTAAATATTTACAAAATCAAAAAAGCACATTATCTATGAGTGATACTAATAAAATTATAGACACTTTATTTGATACAGGTATAAACCAGATTAGTAAATTATAATTGTTAACTGCTACTCTTTTCTATCCCTCCAAATCTCTCCTCTCGACATGCCCCAAGGACTCTATAGTTATTGTATGTTTGAAGAACCACCTATATCTTTGTATAAGAACTTAATGGTAAGTATATAGATAGAAAGGAGAGAAGAAATAGTTTGGAGGTTGGGTATTTGAAAAGGGAAATGAAAATGAGGCTGGTTAAAGAAACTATGTAAGTACCCTCATATAAGGCAGGCACTCTAACATGCTAATTTGTAGTGGTGAATACAACAGACCCACTCCCAGTGGTCTCTTCCTGCATGTGGCTTGCAGACTAGTGGTGAAAATCAACTTACAAATTAATTTGAATGCAATGTAATCAAGCCTGTTTTTAAAAGTATTATAAACACAAAAAGGAATCATATCAACGAATTGTGGTAAGAGATGAAGAAAAGGAAGATGTGGAGGGAAGAGCTGAGGGAGACTTCAGAGAGATGTTCACATTTAAGGTATATTTGGAACTTTTCCAGATACAAAATGTTTCTAGAAGCTGAGACATGGTACAATGGGGGAAAAAAAATGAATCTGGGGCTAGCATTGTGGTGCAGCGAGTTAAAGCCACGGCCTGCAGCACCGGCATCCCATATGGACGCTGGATTGAGTCCCAGCTACTCCACTTCCAATCCAGCTCTCTGCTATGGCCTGGTAAAGCAGCAGCAATGTCCCAAATCCTTGGGCCCCTGCACCCACATGTGAGACCTGGAAGAAGCTCCTGGCTCCTGGCTTCAGATCAGCTCAGCTCTGGCCATTGTGGTCATTTGGGGAGTGAATCAGCAGATGGAGGACACCTCTCTCTCTCTCTTTCTGGCTCTCTCTCTGGCTCTACCTCTCTCTGTAACTCTGACTTTCAAATAAATAAAATAAATCTTTTAAAAAAAATGCATCTGGAGGCCAGCGCCGCGGCTCACTAGGCTAATCCTCCGCCTTGTGGCGCCAGCACACCAGGTTCTAGTCCTGGTCGGGGCGCCGGATTCTGTCCTGGGTGGCCCCTCCTTCCAGGGCCAGCTCTCTGCTGGGCCTAAGGAGTCCAGTGGAAGAATAGTCCCAAGGCTTTGGGCCCTGCACCCCATGGGAGACCAGGAGAGGTACCTGGCTCCTGCCATCGGATCAGCATGGTGCGCCGGCCGCGGCGGCCATTGGAGGGTGAGCCAACGGCAAAGGAAGACCTTTCTCTCTGTCACTCTCTCTCACTGTCCACTCTGCCTGTCAAAAATAAAAATAAAAAAATATAAAAAAATGGATCTGGAAACCCAAACTCTCATTACTAACTAGCAGTGGCCCTTTGAAAGAATTCCTTTTTTTAGAAACTTTTATTTAAGGTATACACACTTCATGTATTTCATATATACAAATTTAGAAACATACTAAAACAAAGAGATTGATAAGCTCTTCCAACATTAAAATCTAAGTTAAAGGCTCAAATACAGTATATACATATAGCCTAAATCAGTGGTTAGCAAAATATACCTATAGATTAAATATGGCCTATCACTTCTTTTTGCAAATAATATTTTACTGAAATTCAATTATTTCTATTTATTCACATATTGTTGTTCATGGCACAGAGGCCATATGGCCTGAAAAGTGGAAAATACTCATTACCTGACCCTTTACAGTAAAAGTTCACTCATTCTTGGTCTAAATATAAAATGAAGTATGCTTTATACTTAAAAGATACAGTCTAATATATACATATAGGTTCTTTTAAAAGCATATTTACATCATCATTTTGTATTAAAATACCTACAAGACAATTCTATCTCATATGTTATTATTGTATAAGTGTACTTCAAAAAGTCTGTAGAAAATGGAATTGAAAGATGTTTGTTTCAAGGCAAAATCATTTTTAAATCCATGTTTAATTTTTTATAATAAAAATTTTCCATAAACTTTTTGAAGCACCTCATTTAATGCTTTTTATGCTATATAATTAAAAATTATTATCGATTAAAACAATGATTAAAGAAGAGCAGGAGGATAACACAGGAAAAATAATACCAGTCACAAAGAAACATGCTTTTGCATTTGCTTTGATATGGGAGTTTTTATTTCAGTGCTTTACATTTTGTCCAAAAATTTAATCTCTACCAAGGCTGCAAAATTTTTCCTTGTAAAGAAAACCATTATAATACGGAGACAATTCCCAAAAATTATACTTTTTTGGACACAGTGTCTTTTCAGGTAATGGCAATAATTACTGTATTTTAGTTACAGATAGTAACTCTTTCACCTCATTTGTTATATATTGATCAGAGATGATCAATATAAAGGACATGTCCCCAAAGCATCTACATATATGATTTTGATATCTAAATTTCAAGAAAGAATCAGTAAATTAAGTTATGCTCTGACTTAAAAGAACCAACATTACTGATATGATGACAAGACTTGTAAAATAAAAAATAATAACAGAAATGCAACTTGCAAAACAGAAGACTAATCATCAATTCCACAAAAGAAATATGATGCCATACCTAGGGCATTAGAAGATAATGTCTTCACTAACTGGAGAAAATACTCACTTGTTTCACATTTTCAGCTAAGAAGACAATATAAACACTACAGAATCCCAGCTGTGTTACCACCAGAAAAAAGTCAACCACACTCCTGTAAAGAGATACCCACAAATAATTACCAATAAAAAATAGCTGAAATATCAACATATTTCTCTTATTAACCATTTTAAAACATTTTCTAGTAGCATAGTAGCATGTATTTTTACTCTCTTAAATAAGAAGCATTTAAAACATTTTCTATTAATATTCTGTAATTATGATCAGTATGTTGCTGAGATTATTATACAGCGAAAGATGCTCCACCAAAAGGTGAAGATGTTGCCAACGTTATTTGTGAAATTCAACAGTTTAAATATATCAGCTTATTAAGTGGTTTCATAAAAAACATTTCATCTTTCAAATTAAGCCCATTTCTCTTACTTCTCAAGAACTTTTTCAGATCAACCAGTGTAGTTCCCATTCCTCCCAGCTTCATGCCATTTGAAAACATGACAAGCACTCTGTCTACTATCCAAATCACTAACAAGAATACGAAATAGGAGAGTATTGGAGGCATGCCCCTGCTCTAATCACAAGAAAGTTCTCCAAAAGTTTTTCTCTTTTCTAATTTTTAATGAGATATTCCAGAAAATTCTAGCTATACTAAGTAGTGTACAGGAGTGGGGAGGGGACATCATCAGAGGCATCAATAACATTAGCATTACGTGGATATGGCAATTACCAAGTTATCAATTTGCCTACATGTTATTAATATATATTCCATATTTTTCTCATTTTGTTTGGGAACAATGAGTAACTACTTTAGTATACACTTGCAAAAACTATTAAACCTGTACTCTATTCAAAATTGGAAGTACCCTTACTTATCTTCAATATTTCCATAACTCTGAATTTCTCCATGGCTATTCAGGAATCTCATCTGCAATTATCTTGATGCCCTGAAGTGATTCAATTATCTCTGATGCATTACATTTAAGTATAGCCTTACTCTCTTTTTATCCATCCTTGAATTTAATATTCAACCAACAACTATTCCAGCCACTTTTATCTGAAAGCCATTATTCACAAGACAGATAGACAAAGCTGCCTTTAATATATAAATTAAGATGTAGTTTGCAATTCTGGGTTATGAAGGCAGGTCGCTAGTATTTTTTTTTTTTTTTTTGACAGGCAGAGTGGACAGTGAGAGAGAGAGACACAGAGAGAAAGGTCTTCCTTTTGCCATTGGTTCACCCTCCAATGGCCACCGCGGCCGGAGCGCTGCGGCCGGCGCACTGTGGCCGGCGCACCGTGCTGATCCGAAGCCAGGAGCCAGGTGCTTCTCCTGGTCTCCCATGCGGTGCAGGGCCCAAGGACTTGGGCCATCCTCCACTGCACTCCCTGGCCATAGCAGAGAGCTGGCCTGGAAGAGGGGCAACCGGGAAAGAATCCGGCGCCCCGACCGGGACTAGAACCCGGTGTGCTGGCACCGCAAGGTGGAGGATTAGCCTAGTGAGCCGCAGCGCCGGCCGGTCACTAGTATTCTAAGTTCTGTTTCCTTCCTTCCCCTACTCAACTGATCAGGAAATATGAGAACCTCATAAACAAATCTAATTTCCTTAATATTCTTAGAAGAGCCATCTTGAATCATAAACTCCTAAGATTATTCTTTTCCTTTTAATTCCACTGCATATATCCCTTTTACTGTAGTTAGCATTTTGTTGATGGCTTGGGATTCCTTATTTTTCTAGTCCTATGTTCACTTGACTTTGATTATACATGTCTCCCAATGATAAAGTTATACTGAAATATTAACATTCAAAAGTAAAGTTGTAATAACATGCATCTATGCCTAACATGTAGCTAAACACTATAAATTTATTTGAAATAATTAGATTGTAGCATTTTTTTTGCTTTTCTTCTTTTATTTTAAGTATTATTGAACACAGTTGTATCACTAGTTGCCCAGGTGCTTTATAAATACTTAATCTAACCTACCATAATAATCTTATAAAGAGGGTTTTATTATAATCTTATTTCATAGTGAGAAAAACAAACCAAAATGATAAATACTTTGATAAAGATCATAAAACTGATGGAGTTGAGATTTGAATCCAAGTCTACCTAATTTCAAAGATTATTTGTTTATTATCCCAACATTTTCATACTTTTATTTGTTTATCTTATTAAGTTAAAGGCATCACAATGTCTAACTTTAAAGCACACTATAAGCTATAGTAATTAAAACAGCAAAGTACTGGCATAAAAACTAATATATTGATGAATGGAAAAGAACAGAGATTTCAAAAATTAATCCATGTGCATGCAGTTAACTAATTATATCAAAGGTACCAAGTATGCACACTAGAGAAAGGATGGATAGTCTTTTCATTAACTCTTGCTTGCAATACTGGATATACACATTAAGAATAAAATTAGATCCCTACCTTGCAGCATATACAAAAATAAACTCAAGATGAAACAAGGACCTAAATGTAAGACCCAAAACTTGAAATCGCTAGAAGAAAACAGGGGAAATAATCCAAGACATCAGAGTAGGAAATAAGTTTTTATAAGACTCTAAAATTTAGTACTGTTAACAATAACAAAACTAGACAAATAATATCAAACTCAGAAGCTCTGCACATCAAAGGAAATAATCACCAGTGTGAAGAAACATCCAGAAGAATGGGAGAAAATATTTGCAAGCTACTTATCTAACAAAGGATTAATAGCCAAAATACATAAAAAACTAAAAAAAAAAAAAAAAAAAAAGGCCGGCACTGCAGCTCACTAGGCTAATCCTCTGCCTGCGGCACCAATACCCCGGGTTCTAGTCCCTGTTGGGGCACCAGAGTCTGTCCTGGTTGCTCCTCTTCCAGTCCAGCTCTCTGCTGTGGCCTGGGAAGGCAGTGGAGGATGGCCCAAGTCATGGGAGACCAGGAGAAGCACCTGGCTCCTGGCTCCTGGCTTCGGATTGGCGCTGCGCGCCGGCTGTAGCAATCATTTGGGGGGTGAATCCATGGGAGGAAGACCTTTCTCTCTGTCTCTCTCTCACTGTCTAACTCTGCCTGTCAAAAAAAAAAAAAAAAAAAAAAAAAGTACAGTCAAAAATAGCCAAAGGACCTGAATGGATATTTCTCAAAATAAGAAATACAAATGGCCAAAAAATATATGAAAAGATGTTCAATATCACTCACTAACAATCAGGAAAATGCAAATCAAGGCCACAATGAAATATTACCTCACCCCATTAGAATGGCTATTATCAAAAAGACAGAAACTAAAAAGCCTGGCAAGGATGTCAAGAAAAGAGGAATTCTTACATACTGTTGGAGGGGAATATAAAATAGTACAACCACTATGGAAAGCTGTATGGAGATTTCTTTAAAAACTAGAAACGGAGCAATTCTCCTTCATGAGGTTGGCTGCATTTATACCTGAGTGTATAGTAGCCTTTTGTCTTTTAAGATTTTATTTATTTATTTGACAGGTAGAGTTACAGAGAGAGAGAGAGAGAGAGAGAGAGAGAGAGAGGTCTTCCTTCTGTTGGTTCAATCCCCAAATGGCCACAACGGCCAGAGATGCACCATGCCGAAGCCAGGAGCCAGGTGCTTCTTCCTGGTCTCCCATACAGGTGCAGGGACCCAAGGACTTGGGCCATCCTCTACTGCTATCTCAGGCCACAGCAGAGAGCTGGACTGGAAGAGGAGCAACCAGGACTAGAACCAGCACCCATATGGGATGACGGTGCCGCAGGCGGAGGAATAACCTAGTATGCCACAGCACCGGCCCCGCCCTTTGTCTTTCAGTAAATCTTCCTCTTCTGTTCACCTCTATCATCTTCTGGTTATATTCTTTTTTTTTTTAATTTTTTTTTATCTTTGACAGGCAGAGTAGACAGTGAGAGAGAGACACACAGAAAGATAGGTCTTCCTTTTGCCATTGGTTCACCCTCCAATGGCCACCGCTGCCGGCGCATCGCGCTGATCCGAAGGCAGGAGCCAGGTGCTTCTCTTGGTCTCCCATGGGGATGCAGGGCCCAAGCACTTGGGCCGTCCTCCACTGCACTCCTAGGCCATAGCAGAGAGCTGGCCTGGAAGAGGGGCAACCGGGACAGAATCCGGCGCCCCGACCAGGACTAGAACCCGGTGTGCCGGCGCCGCAAGGTGGAGGATTAGCCTATTGAGCCACGGCACCGGCCTGGTTATATTCTTACACACATGAATACAAGAACCTGGACTGAAGATTTCACTGAGTCCAGCAGGGCTCTCAATCCCAACATAATTTGGGAGTAATCCTTGCCACTTGATATGGGATGCCAGCATAGTAAACAGTAGCTCAACCTGCTGCATCACAATGCCAGCTCAAATTACAGGCATCTTAACTGGTATCTTAATGAATATACTAAATGCCCTTCACTAAGAAAGAATTTTTTAAATAAGTGATTTGGAAACAAACTTGCAGTATCTCTGAAATATGCCTGTACCATATTACCGCTAGGCCATAAATCTGTACATGTTCCTACACTGAATCACTAAATATTCAAAGCAACTATGATACTATGTACACAGCAGCAAAACACCATCCTGGAAGCAGAGAACAACCTTCAGCAGACATCAATTCTGAGAGAGCTTTGATCTTGGATTTCCCAGATTTATATACAAAATACCCAGTAGTTTTTTTGTAGTTTTTTGGGTTTTTCTTGCTGTTGTTTGCTCGATTTTGTTAGCAGGACACATGATGAACTAAGACATAGAAGCATTCAAAATGTAATTTTTGGGACCAGCGCTGTATGACAGTAGATAAAGCCACTGCCTGCAACACTGGCATCCCATATGGGCACTGGTTCAAGTCCCAGCTGCTCACTTCTGACCCAGCTCCCTGCTAATGGCCTGGGAAAAGCAACAGATGGTGGCCTAGTGTTTGGGTCCCTGTCACCCACATGGGAGACCCAGAGGAAGCTCATGGGCTCCTGGCTTTGTCCTGGCCCAGGCCATGGTTTTGTGGCCATCTAGGGAGTAAACTAGCAGATGGAAGATTCTCGCTCTCTCATTCTCACTCTCTCTCACTCCCTCTCTCTCTTTCCCCGCCCCCTCTCCGTCTTTCCCTCTCTATGTGTAACTCTGACTTTCAAATAAATAAATAAATCTTTTTAAAATGTCATGTTTTCAACCCTTTCCTGTTTTGGAAGTATTCATTAACCATCTAATTTTCAGTTGCTCAAGTGTCAAGAACTGTGTTAGATGCTAAAAATGAAGTCCTAAGCAATACAGGCAAGACCCAAACCTGTGGAGTTTGCCAAGTTACTATAAAATAGACTAAAAAAGTACAAAAGACAGATAATAGCTTTCCTAATTCACTTAAAATATCTTTAAAGTCTATTTCAACTATGCACTTTACCAAACTTAACTGTAAAATAATAGATACATTGAATTTAAAGCATAAATATGGGGAAAATGTTGTTTCATAGTAAATATCTTGCAGGTGTATATTTAAGATAAACATTTCTGTATTTCAGTCTTCAGACTAGTTATTGTTATTGAACACAGGAACAAATATCAGATTAATTATGTCATCTGAAAAAATGGATTTAAAATGGTCATGCTTATTGCTGCTTATTGTTTTATAAGTACAGACAATAATGCCACAGGGCAAAAATTCTTTCTTCCATGGAGATCAAATCTGAAATTATTTTTGTCCTATTACATGCAATTTTGAAATGCTTCATAAAGGATTTATCACAGATACAGATAGAAGAATTTGAAATCTAAGTCACTTATGGAAAATCTCCTATAATAAAAAACATTCCATAATACAATAAAAAAATAAATACTAGAAATGGAACTTCTACATGATCCAGCAATCCTATTACTGGGTGACTATCTAAAAGACATGAAATATATTCTATCAGAGAGATGCCTGCTCTACCATGTTTATTGTAGCACTATTCACAATAGCTATGATATGCAATCATCCAAGGTGTCCACCATAAGATGAATGGATAAAGAAAAAGTGGGATATACACACCATGAAATAATTCTGTCATTTGCAGCAAAATGTATGGAACTGGAGGATCTGATGTTAAGTGAAATAACCAAGACACAAAAAGACAAATATCATGTTGTCCCTCATTTGTGGAAGCTAGAAAAATTCAATCTAAACACAGAATAGTGATTGTTGGACTCTCAAGTAAGAAGAGGTAACAGAAGCAGTTCTGGATAATGGGTACGAAATCAGCTGGATCAAAGGAATAAATTCCTAGTGTTCCACAGCATAGTGGTGTGATTATGCTTTGCAATTACCTATCATGCATTTTATGAAAAAAAAAAAAAAACAGAAAAAAGTAGCCCTAAGGCTCCCATCATAAAGGAACATCAAAGAAAGGGAAATACTGATTACCCTGATTTGATAAGTACAAATTATACACATGTATTGTAATGTTTCATGCAGCCTATAAAAATGTGGGATCTGTCCTTAGTTGTGTTGTCCAATGTGAAGTAATGCTATAACTAGTACTGAAACAGTATTTTACACTTTGTGTTTCTGTGTGGGTGCAAACTGATGAAATCTTTACTTAATATATACTGAATAAATCTTCTGTATTATAAAGATAATTGAAAATGAATCTTGATGTGAATGGAATGGGAGAGGGAGCGGGAGATGGGAGGGGTGTGAGTGGGAGGGAAATTATGGGGGGGGCACTGTAATCCATTAACTGTACTTTGAAAATTTATATTTACTAAATAAAAAATAAAAAATGTACAGTTATTGTTAATTTAAAACATTAAAGATTAATATAATTTTGAAACCATATGTAAATATTATATCAAATACTTACCGTCCCCATGCTGCTTGCTTCTGAAGATAATTCCAAGGACTTACTTCCATAGCAAAACTCACAGTGTCACTATAACCTAATGTTGGCTTTTTAAACCTGTAATTTAATGACATGCATACGTTGGAATAAAGAAAAATTTTAAGTTGGCCCAAAAACTATTCCTTGAAAAGAACATCAAATAAATAGGAATTAATAAATGTAGGGCAATATATGGACAGATTTGTTTCAAAATTTCAATATCTGCATATCACTGAAGCATGTCGTACAAAAATTTAAAATTTCATACCTGTCCTTCTTACTTATCTTACATATCTGCCCTTCTTATTTATCTTGATCTACTGCTAAGTTTTACATATTTGTAGAATTCATACAACCTAATATTTGTTCTTCACTGATTTCCATGTTTCAAATACCTACATTGATTGCGTTAACTCAATCCAAGAGCATTATTTCCAAGAGTAACATTATTAAATGATATCTTTTGCTGGCGCCGTGGCTCAATAGGCTAATCCTCTGCATGTGGCGCCAGCACACCGGGTTCTAGTCCTGGTCGGGGCGCCGGATTCTGTCCCGGTTGTCCCTCTTCCAGGCCAGTTCTCTGCTATGGTCCAGGAGTGCAGTGGAGGATAGCCCAAGTCCTTGGGCCCTCCACCCACATGGGAGACCAGGAGAAGCACCTGGCTCCTGGCTTCGGATCAGTGCAATGCGCCAGCCGCAGTGCACTGGCCATGATGGCAATTGGAGGGTGAACCAATGGCAAAAGGAAGACCTTTCTCTCTGTCTCTCTCTCTCACTGTCCACCCTGCCTGTCAAAAAATTTTTAAAAAAAATTAAATGATATATTTGTACAGAGTTCCATATTTTCACATATACAATCTCCCTTATTCTTTTTTTTTTTTTTTTTGGATTTACTTATTTATTTGAAAGTCACAGTTACAAAGACAGAGAGATATTCTATCCGCTGGTTCACTCCCAGATGGCCACAACAGTCAAGGCTGGACCAGGCCAAAGCCAGGAGATTTTGGGCTATCTTCCACTGTTTTTCCCAGGCCATTAGCAGGGAGCTGCATCAGAAGTAGAATATCCAGGACTCGAACTGCTGCCCATATGGGATGCTGGCATCGCAGGCAGCAGTTTTATCCTCTACACCTCAATGCCAGCCCCTCATTTATTCTTTAAAATAGGACCATGAGACAGGTATTTCTCCATTCTCTTTCATTTTCTCCCCAACTCCCACACTCTTGTGCTCTCTCTCTCTTTCAAGTATACAATTATGTTTTAAGATCCAGTTACTTATTTGAAAGGCAGTTTCAGAGAGAGCGAGAGAGAGAGCAAGAGAGAGAGAGAGAGAGAGAAGAGAGGAAGACAGAGAGCCAGCCTTCACAGGTTCATTAGCAGGGAGCTGAATCAGAGGCAGAGCAGTGGAGACTGGAACCAGTGCTCCAAAATGGAATGCCCAGTTCACAGGCAGCAGCTTAACCTGCTCACCACAATGCCAGCCACAGGTATTGACTGCTATTTAAAGATCATAACATGAGTTACCCAAAGTTTTAACAGCATTTAACAGCAACCAATAAATAAATAAATAAAATAAAAGAGTCAAAACTTGAATACTGGTCTACTACAACAGGCAATAATTTTGGGGAAAAAAAGTTGGTCTATTGATTTTATGATACAAAAATAAAGAAAAATATTATTTTATTGATTGCCTTATAAACTCATAATATCAGTAAAGAGCTGTAAAGGCATTGTTTCTCATTCTGATTTACTAATAAATGAAGGGTATTATGCCGTAACTAAAAGTTGCATGGCTGCTTCCATTTCCTCTGCATCTTCCCTAATTTTTTCTGTTTATACTAAAGAAAATTCTACCTAATTAATAAGACTACCTTTTGAAAAGTAAATATGTTGACCAAATTTATATCTTATGAAATGCTGATTTTTCTATATTCATTAGACTTGTCCACGTAACAGGTTAAAGGAAATATTTTAAGTTACAAATCACAGTAGAAATATGATTATTTGATGCTTTATATATATAGCTCTAAAATAAAATAAATGGACTTAACAAATCCACATTTACCTCTGACATAGAAAGTGACTGCAACGTACCAATATGTGCATACAGTGAACAGAAATAATTCCTATAAATACAAGGCTGATTGGTCCAAGCTGTGGGGAAGAAAATTTATAAGGTTTAAATATTTAAGTTTAACAAAACTTGAACAATCTTATAAGCAATGAATCACTGGACTACTCATTTGCAGTGAATAAATATTTTTGTACAAATGATCAAACAGTCACTTGCGTAAGGAACATTAACAAACTTGATACAGGAAGAATTTCAAGTTATAGTTAAAGAAACCATTTTCCATTATTCCATTTCAACAATGTAGGTACCTATACTCAGGAATACAGAACATAGGTATTCAACAAAGTAGGATACAACATCATCTTTACTATCATATGGCAAGTCTACAACTATCAGTGTCCCAACATGGTAATTATATGCATCCGTGCATCATTCTCCAAGAAACTAAAAAGCGTAATATCCAACAGGGAATTAGGACAATCCATTTCTTTCACAGACTGCCTGCTGAGCATTTAACATTACAGAATTATGTTTAGAAAACAATTATTTGAAAAACACACAAAATAATAAAGTGTTTATTTATTAAAATATATATTGCCCATTCAATTTTATATTCAGAAATTTTTAAGCTCTAACTTAGGGTAAACAAAACAGCCTAACTCAGAGAAAAATGATAGATAGAGAGATGTCTTTCAGAAACTGTTCTATAAATTAAATATAATTTTGTTCCTTCATAAATGATTTCTACTATGAAAGTTCTCTATAATTATAACAATTAACTCCTACCATGGCTTAAAGAATTGTTTTTAAAACATAGTGTTTGCCGTCTTCTTAAAGAGAAATAAGAGGAGACTGCATCAGCTAGTGTCACTGGTGATACTGCCTGAGGGAAAGCTTTGCAGACCATATGGATTTTGAGTGAGGCTGAAAGCATTAGCAGGGGCTGGGGTGCCCAACTAAACCTGTGAAACGAGAGCACATTGTCTACTTCCCACCATACCCCCAACAAGAAATCCCAGCAAATAGTAGGAAAGAAATGCCATCTTAAAAGATGAGTACCAGCTGGTGCTGCGGCTCAATAGGCTAATCTTCCACATGTGGCACCGGCACCCCGGGTTCTAGTCCCGGTGGGGGTGCTGGGCACTAGTCCCAGTTGCTCCTCTTCCAGTCCAGCTCTCTGCTATGGCCCGGGAGGGCAGTGGAGGATGGCCCAAGTTCTTGGGCACTGCACCCGCATGGGAGACCAGGAGGAAGCACCTGGCTCCTGGCTTCAGATCAGCATGGGGCGCTGGCTGCAGCACACCAGCCACAGCAGCCATTGTGGGGTGAACCAATGGAAAAGGAAGACCTTTTTCTCTGTCTCTCTCTCACTTTCTACTCTGCCTTTAAAAAAATAAATAAATAAAAGATGAGTACCAGCTGCCATGGCTTGCAGACATGTAACTATGTTGTTATGTTATGTTGTTATGTTATGTTAGGATGTTATCTGAGGGAAAAATCCTAGATACCTACTGACTTTGAGTCTGGTCTGGAGGGTTGGAAGGGGGTAGGGTACTGACTTAAGCCTGCGAGGCGCTGCCCTCCTCTCTATTTCACTGGTGCCTAAATTCAAACCGCCAAGGCAGAACACCAACAGGCAGCTAGCTCTGGGACCGCCTCAGTTCTCTCTGTGGATGGAGCAGCCTACTGGGAATAAAAGCAGATCCCTGATCCCTTGACTGTAGAGCCCTGTACACTTTGACTGTGGGAATACTGTGCCTGCATGACAAGGTGTAGAGTGTAGCTAGGTCTCTGGAAATCACTGCACATCTCTCTTCAGAGGCTCAGATTTCCCTGATTGCCTGGGGTGGATCATTGCAGAGGGTTTTGTGCTCCCATTTAGGACCACACATATCCTTTGTGAGGCCCTCGCAAATGTGTAGATGGGGTATGCAGCAACTGTGGGCTGGCCCTGAGCATTGAACACCTTGGCAGAGAGGAGAGAAGGCAGTGGCAACACCAGATGACATGATCATGCCCTCCAAGATGGATGTGTCACCCTGGACACAAGAGTTTGTACCACAGGAAGCACTGATCAGAGCATCAAGGCCCCACCTAGCACATGCCTCAGAATATGCACTGAAGGAACAGATGCTCCACTAAGCCACAGAGACATATTTCAAAGACAAATGCCATTGGAGAAGAAAACCAACAAGTAGCTCCACAATGCCTAAAAATAATCATAGAAACATGAGAAACATGAGTAAGGAAGGCAATATGGCTCCCCAAAGGAATATAATAACAATTCAATATTAGAATGTACAAATAGCCGGCACCGCGGCTCACTAGGCTAATCCTCCGCCTTGCGGCGCCAGCACACCGGGTTCTAGTCCCGGTCGGGGCGCCGGATTCTGTCCCGGTTGCCCCTCTTCCAGGCCAGCTCTCTGCTGTGGCCAGGGAGTGCAGTGGAGGATGGCCCAAGTTCTTGGGCCCTGCACCCGCATGGGAGACCAGGAGAAGCACCTGGCTCCTGGCTTCGGATCAGCGCGGCGCGCCGGCCGCAGCACACCGGCTGCGGCGGCCACTGGAGGGTGAACCAACGGCAAAGGAAGACCTTACTCTGTGTCTCTCTCTCTCACTCTCCACTCTGCCTGTCAAAAAAAAAAAAAAAAAAAAAAAAAAAAAAAAAAAGAATGTACAAATGAAGAGATTGATGAAATGCCTGAAAGGGAATTCAAAAGAATGATCATAGGATCATTCAAAAGCAATGAGAAGCAAATTCATGAAAGAATGTGAAAACAGAAACTCTTCTAACAACAGTACAAAGGAAATTGAAAACCATAGGAATATTTACAGAAAAATGGTAGAGCCAAGTTGCTATTATCAGTAACAACCTTATTTGTAAATGGCCTAAATTATCCAATTAAAAGATATAGACGGATGAATGGAGTCAAAAACAAAACTCACCTATTTTCTGCCTGCATGATATATACCTCACCAACAAAGATATACACAGACTGAAGGCTAAAGGACAGAAAAAGATATTCAATGCTCATGGAAAGCAAAAAAAAAAAAAAAAACCACAGCAGGGGTAGCCATCCTGATATCAGATAGAATAGACTTTAACACAAAAACTATTAAAAAGAGAGAGATTGAAGAGACCTGGAAGAAGCTCCTGGATCCCGTGGCTGTTTGCAGGCATTTGAGGTGTGAAGGAGCAGATGGGAGAGCTCTGTCTCTTTGCCTTTCAAATGAATAGTTAAAATTTTTCAAAAATGTAAGTGCATCTGCCAATTTTACCATTGTTTATCCACAATTCCCTACGTTTCTTCTGGTTTTTAATTGGTTTTTCTTTATTTCTTAAAGAAGAGCATTATTTAAAGATTAAGGGATCAATTCAACACAAATTGTGGCTATACTTTGGCCCCTGTTTTTTTAAAAGGAATATTAAGGGATCTAAAGGGAGACAGACTTCACTACAACAATAATGGGGACTTCAACACACCACTTTCATCAACACACAGATCAAATAGACAAAAAAAAATCAACAAGGAAAAAACACAGCTAACCTACACTATGAACCAAATGGACTTTATATCTATAGAATATTTCATCCCACAGCTAAAGAATACAGATTCTTTTCATCAGTGCATGAACTTTCTCTAGGAAATACCATATGCTAGGCCATAAAGTAAGTCTCAACAAATTCAAAAACAATTGAAATCATATCATGTATATTTTATGACAATGGAATTACACTGGAAATTAACTTAAGAACTTTTTTTTTGACAGGCAGAGTGGACAGTGAGAGAGAGAGACAAAGAGAAAGGTCTTCCTTTTCTGTTGGTTCACCCCCTAATGGCTGCTATGGCTGGCGTGCTGCAGCCGGCACACCGTGCTGATCCGAAGCCAGGAGTCAGGTACTTCTTCCTGGTCTCCCGTGAAGGTGCAGTGCCCAAGGACCTGGGCCATCCTCCACTGCCCTCCCAGGCCACAGCAGAGAGCTGGACTGGAAGAGGGGCAACCGGGACAGAATATGGCGCCCCGACTGGGACTAGAACCCGCTGTGCCGGTGCCGCAGGCAGGGGATTAGCCTATTGAGCCGTGGTGCTGGTCAAGAACTTTTGAAAATATGCAAACTCATAGAGGCTGAATAACATGTTCCTGAATGAGCAGTGGGTCATAGAGTAAATCAAAAGAGAAATTTATAAAAATCCTGGAAATCAATGAAGATGACAACACAACATATTAAAACCTATGGGATATATATAACAAAAGCAGAGTTAAAGGGAAGTTTATAGCAATTAGTGCCACATCAAGAAATTGGAAAGGCATCAAATAAATGATCAAACAATGCATCTCAAGGACCTATAAAACAAAAACAAACCAAACCCAAAATTAATTAGAGGAAAAAAATAATTAAAATTAGAGAAAAATTAACAAAACTGAGACCAAAAAAAAAAAAAAACCAAAAAAACAAAAGATCAATGAAATGAAGAGATGGTTTTCTGGAAAAAAAATTTATACACCATTGGAACAACTAACTAAAAAGAAAAAGAGAGGACTCAAATTAATAAAATCTAAGATAAAAAAGGAAATGTTACAAGGGAAACCAGTGAAATAAAAAGAATCATTGGGAATTACTACAAACAGCTATATGCCAATAAACTGGAAAATCTAGAAGACATTGATAGATTTCTGGACACATACAATCCAGTAAAATGGAGCCATGAAGACATAGAAAACCTAAATAGGCCAATAACCAAGATAGACATTCAGTCAGTAATAAAGACCCTCCAACAGAGAACAGCCCAGAACAAGATGGATTCACTGATGAATTCTACCAAATTTAAAAGAAGTACTAATTCCAATTCTTAAACTATTCAAAGCAACTGAAAGGGAAGGAATCCTCCCAAATTCCTCCTTATATGAGGCTAGCATCACCTTAATTCCAAAACCAGAAAATATACAAAAAAGAAACAAAACTATAGATGAATATCCCTGATGAACATAGCAGCCAGCAACATATTGAATAGGGAAAAGTTAGAAGCACTTCCACTAAGATCCAGAAGCAGACAAGAATGACTACTCTCACCACTGATATTCAATATACTTCTAGAAGTTTTAGCCAGAGCCATTAGGCAAGAAAAATAAATCAAAGGATACAGTTTGGAAAGGAGGAAGTCAAATTATCCCTGATTGCAGATGACATGATTGTATATATATCCAAAATATTCCACTGAGAGACTATTGGCACTCATAAAAGTTTGGTAAAGTTGCAGATGTAAAATCAACACACAAAAATCAATAACCTTTGTATACAAGACAATGTTGTGGCTGAGAGAAAACCTGTAAGATCAGTAACACTCACTATAGCTACAAAAAACTTGAATGCCTTTGAAGAAGTTTGACAAAGAAAGTGAAAGATATATACAATGAAAATCACAAAAACATAAAGAAATAAAAGAATACAAAAGAAGTGGAAGAAACTTCCATATTTATGGATTAGAAGAATTAATACCATAAAAATGTTAATACTACTGAAAGTAACTTACAGATTCAATATGATCCAAATCAAAATACCAAGGACATTCTTCTCTAATCTAGAAAAAAATGGTGCTAAAATTCATATGAAAACACAAGAGATCCTGAATAGTTAAAGCAATCTTAAACAACGAAAGCAAAGCCAGAGACATCACAGTACCAGATTTCAAGCTATACTACAGAGTACTTATAAGCAAAACAGCCTGGTACTGGCACAAAAATAGACATGTAGACCAGTGGAACAGAAGAGAAATCCCAGAAATCAATTCACACATCTACAACTAAATAATCTCTGACAATGGAACTAAAATAAATCCCTGGAGAATAAAAATAATGATGTTGGAAAAATTGGATATCTGTGCACGTAAGTATGAAACAAGATCCGTACTTTGCACTTTATCCAAAAATAAACTAAAAATGGATCATGGACCTAAATTTATGACCTGAAACCATCAAATTACTAGAGAAAAACATTGGGAAAACTCTGTAGAACATTGGCATAGGCAAAGACTTCTTGGAAAAGACCCAAGAAGCACAAGAAGAACAACACAAAAACAGGCAAATGGGAGTACATCAAGCTAAGAAGCTTCTGCAGTACAAAGTAAACATTCAACAAAGTGAAGAGATAACTGACAGAATGGGAGAAAATATCTGCAAAATATGCAACTGATACGGGATTAATATCCAGAATCTATAGAGCACAAGAAATTCAAACACAACAAAACAAAAAAATCCAGTTAACAAATGGGCAAAGGACTTTAATAGGCATTTTTCAAAAGATGAAATTCAAATGGCCAACAGACACATGAAAAAAATGCTCAGGGTCACTAAACACCTGAGAAATGTAAATAACCAAAATGATATCACTTCACTCCAGTTAGAATGGTTCTTATACAGAAATCAAAAAACAATAAATGCTGGGAAGGACGTGGGTAAACAGGTACCCTCATGCACTGTTGGTGGGAATGTAAACTAATGATGTCACTTCACTCCAGTTAGAATGGTTCTCATACAGAAATCAAAAAACAATAAATGCTGGGAATAAATGCACTGTTGGTGTGAATGTAAACTAGTATAGCCATTGTAGAAAGCAATACGGAGATTCCTCAGAAATCTGAAGACAAATGTACCAATGACCCAGCTCTCTCACTCTTCGGAATTTACCCAAGGGAAATGAAATCAGCATATGAGAGTGATCTGTACCGCCATGTTTACTACAGTTCAATTCACAACAGCTAAGATATGGAATCAACCCAGATGTCCAATCAACTAATGACCGGATAAAGAAATTGTGATCTATATAAAATATGGAACACTACTCAGCCATAAAAAAGAACAAAATCCTGTCTTTGGCAAAAAAAAAAAAAAGGATGACACTGGAAACCATTATACTTAGTGAAATAAGCCGGTCCCAAAAAGATGAGTGTCATGTTTTCCCTGATCTATGGTAACTAACAGAGTACAAAACATGTAATATACATGAGTGAAACTGACATTTTGAGATTATTCTTTACAGCACTTGTCTCTACTGTAGAGGAACAGTAGGGTTTTTTTCCTTCTTATTATTTTCTGAATTCTTTACTTAGTGGAGAATTAAGCTTATGATATAATATAAACTGAAAGTATGTCATTTTAAAAATTAAAAGAAAGAATAATGTTCCTGTGTGGGAGCAAACTGTTGAAATCTTTTCTTAATGTATGCTAAACTGATCTTCTGTATATAAAGAGAATCGAAAATGGAAAAAAAAGAAAGAATAAGAAAGGAAGGAGGAAAGCTGGAAGCATGGGCAGGAGGGAGGGTAGGGTGGGAAGTATCACTGTGCTCCTAAATCTGTATACATGAAATACCTGAAATTTGTTCACCATATATAAGTAAAAAAAATTTTTTTAAATATATTGTTACTCTGGCCGGCGCCGCGGCTTACTAGGCTAATCCTCCGCCTAGCGGCGCTGGCACACCAGGTTCTAGTCCCGGTCGGGGCACCAGATTCTGTCCCAGTTGCCCCTCTTCCAGGCCAGCTCTCTGCTGTGGCCAGGGAGTGCAGTGGAGGATGGCCCAGGTGCTTGGGCCCTGCACCCCATGGGAGACCAGGAAAAGCACCTGGCTCCTGGCTCCTGCCATCGGATCAGCGCAGTGCGCCGGCCGCAGCGCTCCGGCCGCGGCGGCCATTGGAGGGTGAACCAACGGCAAAAGGAAGACCTTTCTCACTGTCTCTCTCTCTCACTGTCCACTCTGCCTGTCAAAAAAAAAAAAGAAAAGAAAAAAAAAGATATTGTTACTCATGTTCTTAGCTATTTTTTCTTTTCTTTTTTTTTTTACTTTTATTTAATTAATATAAATTTCCAAAGTACGACTTATGGATTACAATGGCTTCCCCCCCATACCGTCCCTCCCACCCACAACCCTCCCCTTTCCCACTCCCTCTCCCCTTCCATTCACATCAAGATTCATTTTCGATTCTTTTAATATACAGAAGATCAGCTTAGTATACATTAAGTAAGGATTTCAACAGTTTGCTCCCACACAGAAACATAAAGTGAAAAATAATAGATGATTTTTTTTAAATCATGATGAAATCAGATCAGACCTATTGTCATGTTTAATCCCAGTGAGAGTCAAGTTGGGAATTGATAATTTCTTTTTTTTTTTAACAGAAGATCAGTTTAGTATGCATTAAGTAAAGATTTCAACAGTTTGCACCCCCATAGAAACACAAAGTGAAATATATTGTTTGAGTACTCATTATAGCATTAAATCTCAATGTACAGCACATTAAGGACAGAGATCCTACATGAGGAGTAAGTTCACAGTGACTCCTGTTGTTGACTTTACAAATTGACACTCCTGTTTATGGCATCAGTAATCTCCCTATGCTCCAGTCATGAGTTTCCAAGGCTATGGAAGCCTTCTGAGTTCTCCGACTCTTATCTTGTTTAGACAAGGTCATAGTCAAAGTGGAGGTTCTCTCCTCCCTTCAGAGAAAGGCACCTCCCTCTTTGAAGACCTGTTCTTTCCACTGGGATCTCACTCACAGAGATCTTTTTGCCAGAGTGTCTTGGCTTTCCATGCCTGAAATACTCTCATGGGCTTTTCAGCCAGATCCGAATGCCTTTAGGGCTGATTCTGAGGCCAGAGTGCTGTTTAGGACATCTGCCATTCTATGAGTCTGCTGAGTATCTCACTTCCCATGTTGGATCACTCTCCCCTTTATTTATTCTATCAGTTAGTGTTAGCAGGTGCTAGACTTGTTTATGTGCTCCCTTTGACTCTTAGTCCTTTCATTATGATCAATTGTGAACTGAAATTGATCACTTGGACTAGTGAGATGGCATTGGTACAAGCCACCTTGATGGGATTGAATTGGAATCCCCTGGTATGTTTCTAACTCTACCATTTGGGGCAAGTCAGCTTGAGCATGTCCCAAATTGTACATCTCTTCCCTCTCTTATTCCCACTCTTATATTTAACAGGGATCACTTTTCAGTTAAGTTTTCTTTTTAAACCAAAAAACATGTTATTCTGAGTCAAAAAACTATAAGGCTTCACAATAAAAAGAAAGTACTCTATAAATATATTTGCTACCATGAGTATACTGTTCAAATCCCTGTTAAGTCAAAAGAATAATAGGAAAAATCAAATATTGTATTATGTTTGAAGGGTTTTGTTTGTCAAATATTACAAACAATTAAGTTAAAATTTTAAGAAGCAATTTCAGGTCTACTTTTCATTAGATATTGCTTTATAGCTTATATAATTTTATCAATACATAGTCAAGTAATTATCTAAAGTCACTTTCCCAGGTTATATTTTACTAAGCCTGATGTGAGCCTTGTGATAATTTTTGCTGTAAAGTAGGTTGATTACTATATCTTAAATAGAGATTATAAATGTAAGTCTTACCACTATGCCTGCATTTTTTATTGCCAATGGAAGTCCTAAAAGGCCAGTTCCAATATTTCCTTTAAGTAGATGCATAAGAGTTTGGACAAATCTGAAAAGTATAAGTAAAATTTAATCATTTTAGAATAAAAATTATTAAAAATCATATAATTATAGTTTTAGTATCACAGGAAAACTAAAAATTAATCTAGGTACAAAACCCAGTAACATTTACTTTCTACCACTGAACCAAAAGTCAAAATTTAGTTCAAGTCCTAGCTTTGCTACTAAAATTAGAATACAGAGAATATTTTCTGTATTAAATTAAATTATATTTTATATTTAAGTGAACGTATTTTGTAAACAGTAAATTAATAAATAAAAAGACATTTTCTCACGAAATACTTTTGCTGAAATAATTTTCAGAAAAATATTGAAGATTAGGATGATAAGATTCAGCAGTTCATTGACATTGTATAATCATGGTACCAAACATATCTGATCTGTAATTATCAACTGAAGTAGAAGTTAATTAAAAGATAAAGACAGGTTTCAAAACTGTATGTATGTTAATCAGAGAAGAGAAATAATTAATTCTTATATATAATAAATCCCTTAACAGTATTAACATGAGAATAATTTCCAGGAGGCAACTGGAGGAGGTCTCTTGATCAAGAAGAAATAAAATGAAACTAAGAAGAACAGCATAAAATTCAGCATAAATTCATAAATTAAACAAAAATGACTGCCTAAATTTTTCTCCAATTTATACTCTTCTGTTGTGATCAATTAAATTTTGTGTTATTTTGCTTAATCATTAAATTATGATTAAAGAACTTATTCTAATCTATTAATGATGACAAAATACCAAGAATATTTTTTAAAAAGTGCCACTGCTTTCCTATGACTCTTTTTCAACTCTTCATTTACCAAGAGTTTACCATCTCCCAAGGTCCAACACCTAGCTATGTCAGAAGCAATTTCTCCAAACATTCCTGAACTCTCAATCACAAATTTCCTTCTTTCAAGATCCATGTATGTGTATGTCATCCTTTCCTACATACTGTTCTATGATTTAAATGTATTTCTCCCTTCTGACCTACACTATGGACTCCTTGAAAGTGACAACTGTGCTTTTTTCACCTTTGTGTGTAGAATCTAGTAAAATTCTTTGTCTTTTAAAGATGATTACATAATATATACAAAATGGATACTTTTAAACTGTACAACTTACGAAATGCCCTCTTGATCATCAAGTTGGTAATGCTTCTGGACAGGTAAGAGCTCTTGTTCATGTTCTTCATCTGATGTCCCATCAAAATTCTGCTCATTTATCAAGGGCCTCATGACATCCATATCTTTAGAAAAGAAAAACACAATACTTCACTATTGTATCAAGAACTGGAATAAGGCTGCTATAAACAAATCTTAAATGTTAGGAAATACCACTTGGACTCATCATTTCTATTTCCACTCTGAGTAAATTAATTCATATCGTTACCTTGAGTGTTAGTATTTTTAAAAGAACAACCAGACTTACTTGCTAGAAATTGTTTAGATTATGCAGTATAAAGTGAAAAACTTAAAATACTAAATGCAAAAATTTTTTCTGCTTTATTCATGTGAAGTTTATGAAGTAAATTCATATGAAGTTTATGAAGTAAATGATCACAGAATTACAAGATGAAGAGTGTGAAGAAAAAATCAAATATATTTTTCTCTGATTAGCTTCCAATCACATTGTAAAGGTAAATGGTAATTGGGGTTGTCACCGTGGCTCACTTGGCTAATCCTCTGCCTGTGGCGCCAGCATCCCATATGGGCACCGGGTTCTAGTCCCGGTTGCCTCTCTTCCAGTCCAGCTCTCTGCTGTGGTCCAGGAAGGCAGTGGAGGATGGCCCAGGTGATTGGGCGCCTGCACCCATGTGGGAGACCAGGAGGAAGCACCTGGATCCTGGCTTCGGATCGGCACAGCGCCAACCATAGCAGCCATTTGGGGAGTGAACCAACAGAAGGAAGACCTTTCTCTCTGTCTCTCTCTTTCTCACTATCTAATTCTACCTGTCAAATAAAAAAAAAAAAGTAAATGGTAATCATCCTTTTAAATACTTTAAGAAAATTATAATTTCATTTCAATATTTAAAATTTTAGTATCAGGGCTGATGCTGTGGTGCAGCAGTTAAAGCCCCAGCCAGCAACACCGGCATCCCATATGGGTCTCAATTTGAGTCATGGCTGGTCCACTTCTGATCCAGCTCTCTGTTAATGTGCCTGGGAAAGCAGCAGAGGATGGCCCAAGTCCTTGGGCCCCTGCACCCATGTGGGAGACCCAGAAGAAGCTCCTGGCTTCAGATTAGCTCAGCACTGGCCAGTCTGGCCATTTGGGGGGTGAGCAACAGATGGAAAATCTCTCTCTGCCTGTCTGTCTGTCTGTCTGTCTCTCTCTCCCTCTGTTAACTTTAAAATAAATACAACTTTAATTTTTTTTTAATTTTAACATCAAAATTTGTCTTTATATCTTCACAATTTTTAGCATGATTCTGCTTTCAGAAAGACAACACTAGTCAAAATTGTGTCTCCTTGTTAAGTTCAAATTTGCTGAAATGACTGACTTTAATCAATAAAGTCTGATTACAGAATATTTTAAAGAAGTAAAAACTTTGTTTTATCCAAACACATCTAATAAATCTGTATAACAGGGAACTGAAATAAATAAGTAACTGATTTGGGAATGACTAACTGACATAAAATTTTTAACCTTTTATTTTGGAATAATTTTAAATGCATATTAAATGTGTTAAGAATTATACAAAAATCTTTATGTATTCTTTATAGATTTACTAATTTTTGATGTTTTACATTTTAATTGTTTTAGTTCTTAAATAATTTTATGAATTATTGGAGAGTGAGTTACATACATCATACCATTTTATTATAAACATGTATTTGTTAAAAATAAAGAAATTTTCTTGTGCATTCACAATGCAACTATCAAATTCATATTAGCCTTCATGTAATACATTATTAAATGTATATTCCATATTCCCTTCCATTAGTTGTACCAAGAAAGTCTTATCCATTTTTTCAGTCCATGATGACACACACATCGAACTGAGCTGTTCTACTGGTTGTCTTTGCCATTATATCTTTTATGAGGCCCTTTATCCTCTTTTTACTTCTTACAATCCTCTTTTTACTTCTTACTTTTTAAACTACTTTGTTTGCCAGTTTTAAATGGTATCTGACTTTTACCTATTACCCACATAGTAAGTAACTTATTTTAGCTTCCTCTATCTCTGATCCTTATTTTCTCATTTTTTAGTTATATTTTTTAGTTATATTCTTTCTATTTAGGTATTAAATATGATAGAGAGAAAGGCACCTCCTTCTTTGATGACCTGTTCTTTCCACTGGGATCTCACTGGTGGAGATCTTTCATTTAGGTTTTTTTTTTTTTTTTCCCCCAGAGTGTCTTGGCTTTCCATGCCTGAAATACTCTCATGGGCTTTTCAGCCAGATCCGAATGCCTTAAGGGCTGATTCTGAGGCCAGTGTGCTGTTTAGGACATCCGCCATTCTATGAGTCTGCTGTGTATCTCGCTTCCCATGTTGGATCGTTCTTTCCCTTTTTTATTCTATCGGTTAGTATTTGCAGACACTAGTCTTGTTTATGTGATCCCTTTGACTCTTAGACCTTTCATTATGATCAATTGCGAACAGAAATTGATCACTTGGACTAGTGAGATGGCATTGGTACATGCCACCTTGATGGGATTGAATTGGAATCCCCTGGTATGTTTCTAACTCCATCATTTGGGGCAAGTCAGCTTGAGCATGTCCCGAATTGTACATCTCTTCCCTCTCTTATTCCCACTCTTATATTTAACAGTGATCACTTTTCAGTTAAGTTTCAACATCTAAGAATAACTGTGTATTAATTACAGAATTCAACCAAAAGTATTAAGTAGAACAAACAAAAAAAAAATACTAAGAGGGACAACATATTAAGTTGTTCATCAACAGGGCAAGGGCTGATCAAGTCACCGTTTCTCATAGTGTTCATTTCACTTTAACAGGTTTCCTTTTTGGTGCTTGGATTACAGCTTTAAATACTCATTTGAGTCAAGTGGTTTTTCTTCTTTCAGAATTCTAATTACACGCACATTGGATCTTATTTGCCTGTCTTCTACTTTTACCATTTTCTCTCAGACCCTCTTTATGTTTTTCTGTGCCTCATTTTTATTCTTACTGCCTTTTTTCAATAACACGCTACATTTTCATTGTACATTCTTACTTAGATACCTTGCAATTTATTCTTTGTGAATCTCTGTCCTATTTCAAAGCATTTTGTGCTCTGGAATCATAGTTGGAAAGTGTTTTCTTCAGTCAGTATTGTGGTGTTCAATTTATTTTATGGATTATGGTGTTTTTAGGAGTGAAGTGGAGTAAGTGGGCATGCAACCCCATTAATTTTAATTTCTTCAGGATCCTCCACATCTCATCCCAATTACTCTCTTTCCTTTCACTGACAGATGTCTAAGAGGCATGTCCACTGTCATATTTATCTCCCTCCTCCAGAAGCAATGTTTTCCTAAGACTGCCCCCTCCCCCCATACACAGCTATAAACTTCCAGATCTGTCTCTATTTAGACTTTCTTTTTTATTATTATTTATTTGACAGTGAGACAGAGAGGTCCTCCTTCCATTGGTTCCCCCCCAAATGGCCACCACGGCCAGCGCTGCACCGATCTGAAGCCAGGAGCCAAGTGTTTCCTCCTGGTCTCCCATGCAGGCACTTGGGCCATCTTCCACTGCCCTCCTGGGCCACAGCAGAGAGCTGTACTGGAAGAGGAGCAACTGAGACTAGAATCCAGCACCCATATGGGATGCCGGTGAAGTGGGCGGAGGATTAACCAAGTGAGCCAAGGCACCGGCCCTCTATTTAGACTTTCAACACTTAAATTTACTCTCCCTTTCTCAGGAAAATTTTCACTGTGCCTCTTACAAGTCTCCTGATCCTCTGCTCTCTTTCCCAGGGAGTCTAAAGACTCACTTCCTTACTCTGTATGCTTGCAACAACAATAAGAACTGTTTGAAATGTTCCATTTCTTTCTCAGATAATTTAAAGTTTGTGGTATCTTTCCTCTCTTAAATGTTAAGAAAATGAATTTCATAAATGATTTACTTGTACTCCTTGTTGAATTCACAGACTTGGGGGAAGGAAATTTTGAGAGGTTAAGATTCAGGCAGCCAGCATCAGCCCAGTGTGAACTGGAATACAGTGTTATCAGGGTTTTTAAAACTTATTTTATTTGTATCAGGTGAACAAATTTCATGTATTTTATATATATATGGATTTAAGAGCTTAACGATATTTCCCACCCCATCCTCCCTTCCTCCTATACTCTCAGCTTCCCTCCTTCTTCCTCATTTTTTCTTATTTTTACAAATGACATACTTATGATTTATTTTAAAGTCACAAGCTTAACCTTCAAGTAAATAAAGAATTCAAAAACTAGTAAGTAGAAAGATCTCTGTTCCTCAAGAGTACAGACAAGAGCTGTAAACAATAATCCAATCTCAAAATGTCAATTTTGATCATATATATAATACTTTGATATTTGTCTTTTGGAAACTGGCTTATTTCACTAACATAATGGTCTCCAGTTACATCCATTTTGTTGCAAAAGACATAGTATGCTTCCATGTCTTTTTCTTTCTTCTCCCCCTCTTCCTCACTTGTAAGTCATAGTACATGAAGCTATAGCTTATGAAGGTTTGATTCTAGAACACACCGTAACCCAGCAGTGTTGCTAACTTGCTTCTTGACATCATGGAAAAGGAAGTCTGAGAAGGATTTTGTCTTAACACCTTAGCTGAACTGTGATGCACAAGATTTTCCTGTGTGTTTGGTGGAAATGTACCTGCTAGTGCATTCACGCTAAACAAGGAATAAGCTCAAATCTGATGGTTTAAAATGGAAGTTCATTGTTTAAAGTTTTTCCTTTTTAGGTGAGACAAGGCAAAGCACAGGTTTGCAACTTGGAAGTATGTGAAGTCTTGACAGAGTGTGTCTGGTAATTTGAAAAGTATTCCAAAATGTGGCAGTTTTGCAATCAGGTGAAAATTGCTTCATGATAGAAATTCAGCTGATGAAGTTTATAAAATTGCCCCTTTCTAGCTGCTCTGTTAGGAGTTCTGGTTTTTGATACTTTTTTCCTGTCTGCAAACCAGAATTTGATTTTTTGGTCTTGCATTTCAAAAAACAAACAAACAAACAAAAAGACTTTGAATCTGTTTAGTAGATTCCATATCCTTGCATTTCAGTGTTTTATATGTACTACTTAAGTTAAATAGTT